TGTCGTCTGCAGCTGTGAGCAGACAGCACGTATCACAGCTGGGACAAAGCTGAATCTCAGCAACTCAGTGAGGTGAAAGCATGTCTGCACTGACCACCAAGCGCGCCTTCAGTGCCGCCTTTTATTTTTTATCCACTCTCAGCTGTGTCTGTCAGTCAAGAAGCTGCATCTGACGAACAACAAGACACTGACGCACCGAGTTTGAAATTAATATCCATTCTTTCCATGACTGCACAGGTTACACCAGGTAAGATGAGTTGTTTTCTTACAGCTGGTGTTCAGTAGTTTTGGAAATGTTTAAATGTCTTACATGTACTATATCTTTCCTGAAGAACTTGAGCTTTTCTCATGTTCAACCTAACGTCTATTTTAAGCTGTGCTGTAAGTGTTGTGTACTTCATACAGCTACTACGTATAACAGTGTGTAGACAGTATATTGCAACTGGGCACATGGAACAGATGAGATTTCTGACATCTGTGTCCATTTGTGGTTGTTTTCCTCGTGGTAATTTTGCTCCACCTTTAAGTCTTCAGTATAACAGACTGATAATGAATATTAGCCTGTTAAAAAGTGTTCTGTTTTACATTTACTGATTTCTTTTCCTCTGTTCATAGGAATCATTGACTGATTGAGAAAAGATCTCTACTGAAAGTTTGTATTGTTGTGATACTAACACTTAGACTGCGGCCATTCTGATAGCTCACTAATGCACCTTCCATTAACCTTCAATTAGTTAGTTAACATCAATCAGGAGCCACTAATTGTTACTCGGTAGATTTCTTACCGTTCTTGGGTGTGGAAGTGACCATATTTATGAATATGATTAAAATGACATAGCAGATAATTTAGTATGTTGACCCCACAGTGAAATATCGCCGGATACTACCTGTCAAGTCTTTGAGTGAGGTGGAAAACCCATGGAAAGGGGTCACTCTGAACCGCTGCATATTAGTGGCCATGGTGGTTGTGGTGGTCAGCTCAGGGGTTGAACTTGTACAAGGTAAAGCATTCTATCATTATTTTTTGATAATGATGCCCTCATTTATGTCTCCATGTAATCCAGTGCTGATAAAACATTTTCATTGAGATGTCATGATATGTTTTCTTTTCCAATATCAATACTTTTTTGCTTAAAAAACTAATAAGATTTAAAATTAGTACACACAGTACTGTGCAATTTCCAGTCAAATAGTCCAAGTTATTCATTCTTCAGCATCAGGAAAAAAAGCAGAAAACATACATTTAACAGAAAATGACACAGAAGCCTGAACAACTAAATGTAATATCCAGTTTTTCAGTATTGTGTCCATTTATTACAGTGTGTTGCATTTATTATAGCTGCCATTTTTTTAAGAAGACTAACTTTCAGTTTTTTAAAGAAATCTGCTATGATGTTTATCCACACTTGAAAAGTTCAGTCTTAGAAGTTGGTTCCATTTTCTGTATTTCATGCTCCAAGTAATCTCATTCAGTGATAATGAGGTCTGGACTCTTCATTGCTCTGAGAATTTCTTTCTTTCTTCTTTTCTTTCTTTAGTTTGCAAATGTTTATCTTTTTTGTCCATGTCCTTTTCTCATTAACGGCTTCTTGACATCCTTTCAGACCCATAGCGTACAGTTGTCTTCTCACAGTGGAAGGATGGACAGAAACACCTGTGGATTTTTTCAGATCTGAAGCAGCTTGATTTTTGCCTCTCTCAAAAATGAAAGGACTACTTATCTGAACTTCAGTTTTTTTTCCACATATTTTCCTTTCCCATTCCTCATACTAGTGGGTTACCTTATATCTAATGTCCTGAAATATAAATAATTTGTGCTTAACAGCCTTTTTGACTGGAAATTAAATAAATGGTAAAAAAAAAAGGTACTGTCTGACCTTTGCGTAGTACCGTATATTTTACAAACATATGTAATATTCAACTGTTTAAAGTTTTAAAAGACTGAAAGTTGGTTTAATACTTGTACATGACAAATACAGTAAAATCAATCCTAGATTTGTTACATAATCAGATCAGAGTTGTTCTTTTTTCCTCCAGCATTTTCTACTGGTATCAGATAGCTGTTATGTCTAGTTTGCAGAGTGACTGGCTCGATTATTCAGCACTCTTGTGTGTTTCAGAGACACTGGAGCCTTTGTTTGAGGTGGCAGAAGAGGAGGCAGGGTCAGAGGTGCAGGAAGGGGACGCAGATGAGGTACTGGAGAAATCCTCTATTACTGTGTAATATACTGACGTTGAGTTTAGAGGCTCATTCTGATGAAACCTCTGTATCCTTCCCTCAGTCTGAAGCATCCTGGTGGGACACCTTTGCGTTTTGGAACTGGGGAGCAGAAGATAAAATTGACGAATTTAGGAAGAAGAGAGCAGCCAGGCAGAGGCAACCTGGAGAGAAGGCTGGACTCCGGATCCGTAACAGGGAAATGTCTACAAAAGGACTTCTAAAGGAAAGGGATTAGACCAGTTAATAGCTAAAGACCTGTCTTTCAACATGGAGCAAAACCAGAAGACTTGTGTGATTAAATAAACATGTAAGGAGGCACGTTGAAGTGATAGTTCATCAAAAATCAAATATACACAGTTCATCCCTTACCTATATGAGGTTGATTGGCCACATTTGGTGTTTGCTTTTATAGTTTTGCGCTATGAGGCTTATTAGCTTATTAGCTATGAGGCTAATGTAGCTAACGACTAACAGAAGCTTATTTCTGTCCTCAGCATTGTGCAAACTGCTTGCCTAAACCATCAAATACTCAGTTTGCTCAGTAATCTCAGGTAAACTTGCTTATGTTGTTTCCAACACTGTATGGTAACCGTCCTGTTATATACAGTTTTATGTAAGGAGGAAAGTGTGTAAATTTAATTTTTGTAAAACTGGCGCTTTAAGGGACATACAATCCATATTCATCTTACTATCTTATATATTACATGTTACATCTTGTATGTTTCATTCATCTGATATCTTCTCTCTCAAAAGCCTTAAATCTGAAGCATTTCAAGTGTTTATCACACATGACTCAGAGTAAGCATGCTTTGTGGATCTTTAATGTAATACAATACACAAATCACTGAATGTAAAACAAAGGCTGACTGTTTAAAGTGCCATAAGTGGTTACATCAAGGCATGAATCAAACATACATTAGAGAGATTATATATATTACATTAACAAATTATGGTCTGTGGTCTTAGTAATATATACATACTGAAGTGTTTATGCTGATAATGATGTAAAAAAAAAGGTAATATGATCTAAATCTATCACTGTGCAATACACTAGAATGTTTATATGCAAAGGTGTTACAATGCACTCAGCTCATGATTTGATTTGATTCACAATACTCGGTTCCTGTTTTGATGCCCTCACAATGTTTTTAACAAGCTTGAAGTCAAGAAAAATAATGTCTGTAATCATGTTTTTGCACGACTTACAACACAAGAGCTGTCAAACAATGCAACTGCATTAGATGGCATCGTTAAAAGACTGTCTATTCTCCATGATGCATTGTCACAGTTTTGCATCGTGACATCATTATGTCGCAAAGCATTGTTGCATCCCTATTTATGTGTAAATATTCTGGAAAATCATTAGACTCATAAGTGACTTTATCTACACTGCAAAAATAGCATCTTGCCGAATGAAATTATCTTAAATCTAGTCAATATATCTAACATTTCCCCTTTTGAGATGGTTGTGCACAAAATTCTCTAACTTATTTCTAGACATTTTTACTTGTTTTAAGTAATTTTATTAAGTAAAAGTATCTCCAATATTGGCAGACAATTTAGCTGGTTTCAAGCACATTTCTTAAAACAAGCAAAATTATCTGCCAGTATAGTGAGATAATTTTACTTAATAAAATTACTTAAGTAAAAGAGGTCTAGAAATAAGGTAAATAATCTTAAAGTAAGCTTACAACAATCTAAACATGACATATTAGATTTACTGACTAAAAGATAGTTCTACTATTTTAGTCAGCATCCCACACAGGGATTAAGCCTAGTCTTTGACTACATTTTCCTTTTAATGGAGAATCTCCATTAATACGGAAAACGGACCCAGAATCTTTCACAGTTGCACACTCTAAAACTTTTACTGGAACACTTTTTCAACCAGCATCTGTAGCATAGAGTCCATTACCACAGCAATAATTTCCCAGTGCACTTAGAATAGAAGCCAAAGGGAAGGTGTTGGAGCACCTGCCCACTGGCTTCTGTTCTAAATGTGTTTTTTTTTAAACTATGAACTGGTACATGTGTTGAAATGATTTTCCAGGTTAATCAACTGTACGCTACAGACGCCACAGACAGAGTTTACATTGAAAAATCCTAAAGTGGGTCAGAAACACAAGGATAACTCCACCTCTCCTGTGTTCAAAACACTCTTTTTAAATATCTGGTCACATACTGGTATAAACAAGACACATGCTTTGCTGAATATGCACTGATGCCTACACCAGTATCCTACTTAGTCAAATTAATATTTGTTAATAATATTTATAGTTTCAGAAAAGGTCCAGTCTCCTGGCCCTGGCTTTCCTTGTTTGGTAGGACTGTATATTATTGCTCTGCATTAAACATTATAGTACAGAACTGCTTTGTGGATGGATAACGATGTGCTTACATGTAAAAATAAATGCAATATAGACTAATTTGTGAGGTCTCTGTCAGAACACATGCATATACTGGAGAATGTGTATATAAACAACAGACCAAAACAAATTTCCCTAAAGGCTTGCTGAATTATATCAGGTATCATTAATCATAGTGCTGTCACAGTCAATTATATTGTTAATTGAGAAATCTACTATTTTTACAATTAATAAAATACACAGAGCTTTTTTAAAACAGGTCAAGCAATGCAAGTGGACTTAACTGAGCAATGACAAACTAGTCCTAAAACAGCCCTAATCAGATGTGTTAAATTAGGTGTTTGTAAATAACTAAAAACTGGTCTGTGTAAGTGACTTATCAACAAAGACAGTGAAGGATTTTCCTGTATAATATGTCAGTAAATCACTGCCCACTTCCATACATTTTGGCTGTAGTCCTGCACTCTGAGCCTGTCAGCGACATTCACACGCTTTGGCTATCATGTTTGTTTTGTAAGAGATGGTGGAGCCCTCACTGCCCACTTCAATCACACACAGGTCATCATAGTCCACAGGCACACAGCAGAGTGTGCGGTTCAGAGACTGACCGCTCTGGAGGTGGCTGTTCAGCAGGATGGCGTGGTTGGTGCCGCTGGTTAGTGGGAAACCGCACGGTCCTTCACAGTTGTTAATGTTGGCTGCAGGTGGCTCGAGCAAGTACTTCTCCAGAGACACAGTAAGGCTCTGAAGGCGACACTGACTCGGCTTTGTCGGGCCTACCTGGTCAGCTCTGGCGGCCCGTTGTGCTCTCTCCACTGCCCACGTGCCCAGCACAGTCTGTAATGCCTTCAGCAGCAAGAATGCCCTGTACTGGACCTCATGAGGGTTCTCCAAACCTTTATAGAGCAGATAGGAATTAATGTTTTCAGTAATATAAAGCGATTTTGGTTGCAAATAAATGAGATAAATGTTTAAAATGAAGTTACAAAAAATATTTATATCCAGAATATTTCAAAGTGGTGATCAAATCTTGAGCCAGATAACTTGACAAAAGGCACTGTGAACAGATGATTACAGTATATTATTTCTTTCCTGTCATACTTGAATAGTGGAATAAAACATCTAAAGATACATGTCTAGTTTATTAAATCTACACTGTACACAAAATGAAAGTTACATTTTTATGTAAAAAAATAAAATAATCCTCCTTTGCATTAAAATAAAGCTCTGCTGATCGTTCAACACAGTTTTAACAATAAATAGTTATTGCTAGTTCACCTTTAACCCTGAAGGCTGGCGCGCAGACTGCTGGTTACATAGCAACGCAGACAGTCTCACCCATAGATATACATACCTAGATGCCACGTTGGGTCCAGCCAGGCACGTCAACAGCGCCGCCATTTTAGGGCGGTCAACATCGTTGCTGGACTGCATTCGGTACTATTACAGAGTGGCAGTTTAAGTAAGATACTGTCCAAAATTATACTATTTCAAGAATATTGCACTCAGAAAGTGAGTATAACGGAGAGAACGCAGTGATCCACGCTCAGGTTGTGTGATGTTTATGTGTAGATATGGCCGTGTGGTTGGTGAGGCACAGAGAACCTGTTGATGGCATAGTTGTTCCTCTGGTTTTATATTAAGCTTATTTCATTTAATCATCTACTCAAGGGATCTTGACTTTATGTAGTAGTTATTTATTTACAATGGTGGTCATTGCTTTGTAGGTAGGTAAATTATAGCATTCCTTAAAACCGTGTAGATATTCATAATAGATTAACTTTAACACCTTACATGAAGCTGAAGTCAGCTTCTTATTTGCTAGCTCCTGGTTCGAATTTCCAGTCGGTGCAACCTAGATTAATCTATGTTTGAGGATTATAACAAAACAGATTTGGTGAAAATCGGTTGAGTAATAAGGAAGCTGTGCCCAATTCAATCCTGAGACTCTTCATCTCTCAATACAAGTGAATTTGTTCACAAGCGGATCTTGACCGCTCCAACATGGCAGATGCGCAGACGTATCACCTCAGATAGAGAACAACAGACAACGCGGCATCTAGGTATGGAAATCTATGGTCTCGCCTAGCTACTCGTTGACGAAACGGCGAAAAAAAAGATTGAAGATGAACATCGATAATTTGGAGAAGAATGGAGAAACTGTCAAACACTAAAAAGTCGCGAGGCTGTAGTCAGGTTTCCCATTCGCCAGCATCTTGATCAAATTTTCCCATTCTGCCTTAAATGGTGCAACAGTTAGCTAAGTTACATAGTTGGCTGCATTCTGGCGTCTCAGGCACCATGTAAGGTGGAACGGGAAAATTCAAACAAGAAGCTGGCAAATGAGAAGCGACTTCAGCCTCGTAAAAAGTCAAACGTTAAAAGACATTTTGCAAGAAACTGTTTTACTTTTGCGGAAAAGTTTCCTGCTGGAGATGTGAGAAAAGCAGCTAAAGCTTAAAGCAGAGCAAAGAAAGTCTGTGTTTTCGTTTATATTATATTTTTTAGTCTGTACTAGTACATTAGCACATACTGAGACATATTTACAACAAAGATGGTGAAACATTTGCCACTTCATGGACATAAAATGTTGTGGCTCCCAAGTTGGTTAGATTTTTGTTGAAACTTGACACAATGGCTCTTCTTAACATTTGGGTCGCCGACTCTTGGCTTATATAATGTAGATTAAAATATTACAAAAAGTATGTTTTGTTTAGTATTTCTAGTATTTTGGGATCAGCAATAAGTTATGATAAACTATATAATGTAATTCTTTGTTTACAGCAGTTTCAGGTTTTCTGCCTCAGACTTCATCGTAACCTTGGCAAAAACTAGGCATTCTGGATATAAGCTAGCTAATAATGTAATTCTAGATTTATTATTGTGTATGTTGCACCGACTTCTCAGTCTTTTCATAATCATCTATGTTCATCATTCAGCATCTAACCTTTCTTATGTTTTTTTCTTTTTTACAACTTTGTAGCTTCCTGTTAATTTTGTGAAACATGAGGAGCAGCATGTTAGAATCATTTTATACATTTATCTGCAAAAAAAAAAAGTTATATTTTATTGAAAACAGATTATCATACAATGCCAAATGGTAAAATGATCACCTGTTTCTGCTCCTTCTCGATCATCAGGGAGAGCAGTGAGAGCAGTGAGCATCTGCAGTTTGTCCATCACACTGCGTCCAGCTTCCTCCATGCGGACCTGAGCTAAGGCCTCGTCCAGCCGCAGCCTCAGCACAGACAGCAGCTCTGGGTTCAGGTCCAGCTCCACTCGGTGGCTCTGCAGCCCCAGACTGTGGCGGGGGAAGGAGAAGACGGTGGGGCCGGAGGAATTAATCAGTTCTAGAAGAAGAGACTCGCTTGATGACACTCCAAGAGTCAGAGGAGGCAGAGAGTGTAGAACACTCTGAGAGACTGGGGCCTCTTCCTGGGCTGGACGTGCTGGATCTCTCTGAAGGGGGACTTCATTCAGAAACTTCTGGAGCTCACACAGGAAGAAGAACGTTCTGGAAGAGGTAAGAGGGCCAGGTGAGAGCATATGACCGTGGGTCGCTTTCATACCAAAGAGTCTCAATCCAGTCCACATATTTACTCTGTTCTAGCTACACACTTAAAAGGAACAGTTCAAATTTCAGTTTACCCCTTCAGCGAGGACATTTGGTGTCTGAGGCAGACCCCTGACAAAATGATGATATGACAAATTGTGTAATGACAAAATTCTCATATGCCTATCAAAATATGTTGTCACACTGACACAATGTGCCAGTAGAGCCACATTTAAAAACAGCCACCAAAACTCTGGATACAATGATTTTATTGAAGATTTCACATACTGTTAGGACGCTCTCAACCAATCAGCTTGCGTGGCCGGAACTAACTGTTGTGTGTGTGTCTTGTCAGTACTTGTTTCATTATAAAGGGAGCAAAATTAGTCCTGTTTAACCAGATTTACTGCAACACAGTGTGCAAAATATTGAATAAAAATCAGTGTTCAGTTTTTGATAGTATTTTATAAAATTTTGTCAAATGTTTCATTACAAAAGCACAAGGTAAACTCGGTTTTCCATGATAAGGACCTTATAAACACCTGTGCATCTGTATGAGTGTATGAACCAGTGAGAGACATGCAGTACATCCAGTAGGCGTTCTTATCTCACTGCGAGCCAATAAAAGAGACAGATTCTGTTGAGGGCTTTCTTGTCTTACAGGAACTCCCTTTCCTGCAGTTTAACTCTATCACATGGTGGGGTAGCATCATGCAAACAGCCTGCCTAAATCACCACAAACTTGCCTGTATCAAGTTGTTAACTAATCTAGCAAACAGAATTTGAACTTTTTAAAAACATTGTTTTAATAGATAATAGTGTGTCATTCAGTGTCAGAAGCAGGTCTGTTTGAGATTACGTAACATCTTGATGCAGTTTAAAACAAGCGTGATGATTTAGTTCCCTAATATGTTAGCGACATTAGTCTTGTAGCTCTAGCGCAAAACTAAATAAGCAAAACTTCAGATGCCAACATGTCTTGGCTGATCTCATGGATTCAAGATAAAGGGGAAAATAATGCAAATTTGATTTTTCACGGAACTATACTAGTTCAACTAACTATACAATACTGCAGCCAAACAAAAAGCCAGGCTGGCTGGGGTTCCCCAGAAAGAGGAACCTCCCATTTATACAATGACTCTCAGTTCTAAAACTTCCCTCGAGAACATACCGATTTGAAGGAGGTGCCTGTAGATCACTTGTAGTTCCGTGTGTAAAGAAAAGAACCACTGGGCTCAGTGGAATACTGGTTCTGGTGTCCTTCTTCACCATGATGGCTTGAAAGTCAGCCAAACCCATTTTCTGCTCTGGAGATGTGCAAACAGTTAGAATTAAGCTTCAAGAAAATTACTACATACAATATTAAGCAGGCAAATATTGGTTCTCACCACTGTCATCCTGAGAATCGACAACAATTCTCAGCTTCAGGTGACCATGCCTGAAGATCTCTGCCTGGCCAGTTGGCAGAACTACAAACTGTGTCCCCTTAGAAACACACACAGTCTAGGAGGGGATAAAATGAGACAGAGACAAAGTCTGACTCAAACAGCTCACCACAGAAGTACGTTTGCAGTCTCTGCTAATAATAATAATGTCTCTGTACACCAGAATAGAGAAGCTCTCATAAGGCAGTATTATGGCTGACCTGCTTGTTTGGCTGAAGGGCATGACTGCTGAACTTTATGTTTAACCCCTCTGTGTTAATGGTGTCCACAAAGAACAGGAGCATTATGGAGGCCAGCGTGCTTTGTTGATAATCCTTGCATGGTCTTGTGAGGTGAAGGGTCAGCGTGAATTTTCCGTTCTCTTCAACATCCCAGTGCTCTAAAGAAGTGAAGAGAACAATCCTAGAACATTGTCTGCTAATAATAAAATAAGGAAATAACTTGGAAGTGGTACAGTAATGTTCAAAAACTGGTCAAATACAATGTTTAAAACTATTTATCTGGGCACTTGCTTATAAAACAATAACATTAGAATAAATATTAGTAAACAGTAACAGTAAAAGCAAGGTTTGGCTCCATTTCTCCTCAATGCACCTTAGACATTGCATGGATTTGTTAAAGGTTCCATCTCATGGAAGAGAGAAATTTCTATGTAAACATTGCTATACTTCAAAAACCAAACCCATATAATCCATATAGCTCTATTACATAAAATATGCTGCTAAAACACTGTTTGGAATGATGTCACAAAAAACAATGCAAAACAAGCCACAAGCAGCAATCAGGGCCCAAGCACCATAAGCCCAGTGGGGCCTTAGGAGGCCCTAATGTTTATAAGACTTCAGCATACCAGCATATACTGCACATACCAATTTTGACACATATGATGAAAAGTGAGGAACTAGTTTGAAAATGGCTTTTTACAAACTGCACCATCACAAATAATTGTCAGTCTCAGTGCACTGTGTGACAGGAAACAAATTTCTTTTCCACAGGACAAATCCTGTAGGTTTTTTTTATTGTTTTTGAATGTCTAGTTGGCAATTACTGTTGCAGCCCCCCTGTAGTGCTAATATTACCATGCCATTGCAGTGTGCAAATGTAGTGAAAATACATAAATCAAACTGTCTGACTGCTTTTTGAAAATGTGAAAAAGTAAAATATGTCCTACTCTTATTATTTCTTTATTTTAATCTTCGGAAGAGATAAGGAAATTTTTACAAAACTGGCACAGATTTAGCACTGTAGGCACTGCCCTACTGAGGCAGATTCAAACCAATTTTATTTTTGCATGCTGCTTCAGTTCATCAATCTGAACATATTTTCCATATTTTGTCCCAATCAGACAATCACTTTCAAAGTCAGAATAACCTGAACATATTGATTCATGTGCTGCAGCCATAATGTGCAGTGTCAACATTTTTGATAATTATTTACTTTTAGCCATCACAGATTTTTTCCATACCAATTTTGAGACAATATTAGTGAGACTAGCTCAAAATAGTTGTTTGGAAACTTGTCATAGCTGCAGAAAAACAAACAAACAAACAAAAAGTATTTGCAGAATTGTCAGGCTCACCTCACTGCTTGACAGGAGACTTTTTTTTCTACAAGATAAACACAATAGGACAGATGCTTGTTTTTTTATGAATAGCACCCCCTAATGGCCAATTTCATAGGATGTTAGACAATGCCTTCATGTACATACCTTTCAAATGCCAGCTGGAACTGATTGTCTGGAGGCCATATATTATTACTGAGTTGTCCTTAATACCTCATTTTCAAGGTAGATCAAAGATATCACATGCAAAATTTCAGCTTATATCTCCACATATTACCAAACTGGCACCAGATCAGGTCCCCTTTAACATAGTTACATTTATGTTTAATGGATTGATTCTCAGAACCTGGTTAATACCTATTAACTCGTATTTTTAGAGGGCACTTGAGTGGAGGCTTGGAAGTAGTTACACCAGCACACTGACGGATATAAATTCACATTTCATTGTATTAATGTTTATTTGTACTCATTTTAATATTTGTGTTTTCAAAAATAAAATGCTTACATCCCAAATAAACAGCTTTACAAATAAACATTTTCTCAGGCAGTCTCAGAATTTTGCACATTATTGCTTTGGTGCATCTATTTGAGCATTAAAATTGAGCACTGTTACCTTTTTTGGTGTGAAAATATCCTGGGCCATTGTCTTCTTTATGTGCCTTCTGACCCAGCATTAGTAGTGATGAAAACTGCTGACGCTGTACACCATCAGAATCTGAACAAATTCCAAACTCAGCTAATTCCTCCTTCTCCAGCTCACTCTGCTTTCTCCAGCCATCACGCAAAGCAAGCAGGAAGTGATTCAGAGCATCATGAGAACGCGTGTGCTCCTCAACACATGGCACGTGCCCCGAGAGGTGCTGAGAGGGAGGAAAAAGGGAACCAGAGATCTCTCCATTGGGTAAATGTTCTGTATTCTCCTTCTCCAGCTCACCTCCACTGTGCTCTGTGAATGGGTGCAAATCACATTAGAAAGAAAGCTTGAGAGACAGTGCAGATCCTCACCTACGGTAATACATTTCTAAAGGAAACAGGCTAAAGAAATCAGATCAATATAAACAATACAGCTCACGTCCCAGACATCACTGAATGTAACTGTTTGACTATCTGTTTTATGCCTTGCGCTGTATGTGTGTGCATAATTATGTGCATTTACTGTCTGACCATCCACTCACCAATGCTAGGATCACGAGGCCCAATTTAATGCAAAAAAAGAAAAATGATTTTGAAAATTGGGTTAAATAAAAGAAACAGCAATATCGTTTGCTTGTATTGTTATATCCTAATGAAGTAGGTGCTCTAATATAGGCTAATGGAGTTAATTATTGTCATTATTATCATTGCAACCCATTAATCAAGGGAGAAAAAAAAATGTATATTTTGCATACAATATATATTAGTTTGTATAATTGTATGCAAAAGTTTTGGCACCAAAGGAAAATTACACATTTTGAAGTGAAAAGACAAACACAGCCCCTGTAAATGCACAGTTACATTATATTTGATTAACTTAAAAAAACAGAAAAAAAAAAAATTAATTAGTAATTGTGTCGTGCACATTCTGGACACACTCCACTAAAAAAGAGGCTAATTGCCGTCTACAGCGCAGGGGAGGGCTATAAAAAGATATCAAAGTGCATCCAGCTTGTACTGTCCAGAATGTCATCAAGAAATAGCTGATAACAGGAAGTGTGAAAGTCAGGGTAAGATTCGGAAGACCAAGAAAACTCAGTAACACAAACTCTGAAAATAAACGTGTCAGTCAAGAAACCGAAGCCGAAAAGAGGACAGTGATCCGAAACATACCTCAATATCCACCATGACCTACTCAAAGAAACACAAGCTGAGGCTTTTGGAATGGCCCTCACAGTCCTCTGATTCGAACATCATTAGAAATTGGTATGTACATCTTAAAGAGACGGCCCAGGAATACGGCAGAACTGGAAACTTTCTGAAAGGAGGAGTGAACGAAGATTCCGAAAACAAGAATAGAAAGACTCCTAAGCTGGCTACATAAAGCATCTGGAAGCTGTGATATCTGCCAAAAGGTGTTTTAGAAAGTACATTTGCAGAGGTTGTGTAACTTCAAAAATCAACAAAATTTGTCATTCGACCAGGGGTGATAAAACTTTTGCTTACAACTGAAGTAAGGTAAGGGGTGCAATAAAGACGTCTGGGCCCAGCCACCATCAACACCCTGCATTATATGTCCCAGTACTGGTAGTTACATCATTCAGCAGTTATTTCCGCTCAGTGATCAATAATGATGCACGTTATTAGAGCTGCTCAAGATATTAATTGCTATGACAGTATTGGCCTAAATAACGCAAATGAGCCCTTGAACCAATCAGTATCTTAAATAACCTCAGATGTTCCAGATGAATTTGATAAAAAAAAATATATATATATATATATATGTATATATATATATATATATATGTGTGTGTGTGTGTGTGTGTGTGTGTGTATATGCGCATGTATATGTATATAAACTAATACAAGCTAATCTGTAGTCACGCCACATAAGATGTTACTCTATCGCAAGGCATATCAAAATTGCAATATGATTAGTAATTTAATCAGAGTATAGTACTTTATTCATATCATGTTGCCCTACTAACTGTAGTGGAAGTGACTGACCTGGCCGTGGATGGACTGGGGTCATGTCCTGGCTCTGGTCCAGCTTTCCCTCTGTGGTAGCGTGAGGCCCTGTGACCGCAGTCAGAACAGACAGAAGCAGCAACAGCCGAAGGCCTGCCTGCACAGCCATGGCCCCGCAGTCACAACAGTGTCAAGTGCTTGTTTTGGGGCGTTTCGGCAAAAGAAGCCCATTTTATACACGACTCCTGCATTCCTGAAGGAAAACAGTCTGCCAGAATAGCTCCACAATAGCAGTGTCCTTGAGGGTTTTTGATGTGTGGGCTTGTTGTGTAGTAAGGTTGAAGCAGGCTGTGAGAATGTGTAGAAGACATCTGTCATGCCCTGCTAGGCCGTGATAAGGTAACACACAAGTTACACACAATGGATTACTGTATAAGAATCACTCAAGGCTGCCAAGTTAAATCTGAGGTCGATTGCTTGAGTTGACAGCAAAGTGTGAGGAGTTGGTGGCGTCTAAAAGTCTTTGTCTTTTGTGAATTGAAGTAATGTGTCAGCATTTCCTCGCCCCCATTTTATCCTCATGGAAAACATGGTTTATGGATTCTCTGTTCTTTCTTTTAGATTCTACTCAATCTATATTTCCTAACATTCACAAAGACAATCGTACATTTTGAGGGTGATGCCTGAATCGGAAAACATTTTTCTTCTGTACTGTGACATATTTCTTCACGAAATGTGGTAGCAGGGTCTCTGAGCTAGCTGAGCATTTTCTTCTGATGGTGAGGTGGGGGTGGTGGGAGGACGAGGTGAAACAAGGCATTATTGGTTAATACTTTTCCTCACCCTCTGGTGCACAGTGACATAAGCACAGTTGAAATAATGTTTTAGAGGTGAGCAAAAGATGAGATGATACAGCAAGAAACTCAGGAAGTGGGGGTGCCATGGGGATCCTGTAATGGCCAGATAACATTATGCATAACATTATGACCATCTCCTTGTTTCTATGCTCATTGTCCATTTTATCAGCTCCACTTTCCATATAGGGCCACTTTGTAGTTCCACTATTACAGACTGTAGTCCATCTGTTTCTCTGCATACTTTGTTAGCCCCCTTTTACCCTGTTCTTCAGTGGTCAGGACCCCACAGAGCAGGTACCATTTGGTTGGTGGATCATTCTCAGCACTGCAGTAACACTGATGTGGTGGTGGTGTGTTAGTGTGTGTTGTGCTGGTACGAGTGGATCAGACACAGCAGTGCTGCTGGAGTTTTTAAACACTGTGTCCACTCACTGTCCACTCTATTAGACACCCCTACCTTGTCAGTCCACCTTGTAGATGTAAAGTCAGAGACGATAGCTCATCTGCTGCTGCACAGTTTGTGTGAGTCATTCACTAGTCCTTCATCAGTGGTCACAGGACGCTGCCCACAGGATGCTGTTGGCTGGATATTTTTGGTTGGTGGACTATTCTCAGTCCAGCAGTGACACTGAGGTGTTTAAAAACTCCAGCAGAACTGCTGTGTCTGATCCACAGTCTGTAATTGTAGAACTACAAAGTGCACTTATACAGTAAGTGGAGCTGATAAAATGGACAATGAGTGTAGAAACAGGGAGGTGGTCATAATGTTACGCCTGATCGGTGTATATTTATTTATTCATTTATTAATATATTAACTCTGAGTGCATTTATTAATTAGGGGTGCAACAATTAATTGACTTATTTGACTAAAATTGACAACCAAATTAGTTGGCAACTAATTTAATCATCGATTAGTTGGTTCATCTGAAGATGAAACACGTCAGTCAAGACTGCTGCTGGACTGCATTCAGTACCTTTACAGAGTGGCAGGGTAAGAAAAGTACTGTCTGAAATGATACTATTACAAAAACATTGCTCAGAAAGTGGGATAGGATTATACAACGGAGAGAACGCAGAGATCCACACTCATGTTTGTGTGTTGTTTATTATTTGTGTTTTGATGTTTATGTGTAGATATGGCTGCGTGGTGAAGCACAGAGAACCTGTTGACACCATTAAGGGAAAACAGATGTAGTTTTGTTATTTTATTGCTGCTATTTTGCACATCCTTGATTTTAAATTTTGACAGGAAAAAAAAGTTTCTTCTTTTGTATTAGGAACGTTCATTGAAACAGTGAATTTTTGAATAAGGTATTCATATTTATTGTCTTTATTTTTAGTTAGAAAATGCATAAACAATCTCAAGCTAAATTTAAAAAACTGAAAAAATCTATTGAGTATTGAAACATATATAATTATATATATGAGTATCTCATATATATATAAAGTTTGTTATATATATATATATATATATATATATGTATATATATATACACACACACATATATATATATAAACAAACTTAAATGAATACATAATGAATAAAAAATAACATCCCACATTTTGAACATTGTTTTATTCCACCATTTTAATCGCCACGTTGGTGTGTTTAAATACTGAATCTCAGCATGTAGCTTGACTCTGAATGTCAAATGTTCAGTTACGCATCCACATAGCAACAATCTGATTGGTCACCACCAAGCTCATTTCTATGACCTCTGTCCAGAGGGAGCAAGAGAGCAGAATAAGCAGGGTGTGCATCAGCTGTACACGCTAAATTGCCCCTAGGTGTGAGTGTGGGTGTGGGTGTGAATGTATATGTCTGTCTGTCTGCCCTGCGATGGACTGGTGATCTGTCCATGGTGTATCCTGCCTTCCATCCTGCTGGGATAGGCTCCAGCTCCCCGCACAACCCAGAAGGATAAGGAGCTTAGATGATGTGTGTGTGTGTGTGTGCATCAGCTGTTACATGCATATATTGTCATCTCTTGCCACATTATGACACAAGACACGTCTGTTTTGCAAATGATACAAAAATGTATTTTTACATCACTGTAAAAGTCACATATATAATGCTTAACATTTCAGCACCCAACTTAAAACACCGTCCCTCACCTCTGTGATATAGTCAGTTATACTTAATGTGACCAGGCACAAAAACTAACATGAAAAAGGTCAGTTTTGATTTCAGGGTCAAAATTACAAACGTCTTTTGAAAATGATAACATTCGGCCACTGCAATGGCAAATCACAGGTGAATCAATTATGAGTTACGCACTTTGTGGTACACACCTATGTGTTGTTTGCCCTAGTAAACAGGATGTTGTGGCTGTAAAAACTGAGCTTTGCTCTGTGGCCTGGCTTGCAAAAGACTCGCAGCTGCAAACGTGTTGAATATTTTCAAGGTCTTCACAGCTCAGGCCAGCTAGGTGGTAGACAAGACCGAACAGATAAGGCAAAAGATGTGGCAACACAGAAATGCAGCCGAAAAGTCACAAAATAACAAGAAGCCATTCCTAGAACTGTTTACCAATTAGAGAAGGAAAGAATTTTTCCCCCACTTCTGTGGTAAAAGAGAATCTGACGTTTTTAGCATGCTGGGCAAACATACAGTACAGCACTGTTAACAGCTGAACAGTTCCTTAGTGCCATCGGCTTCTAGTGTTTGTTCTCAGTTTAATGCAGAACTGGAACCCACTGAGGACATGAACCTCCAACACACAGGCAAACAAGTCAGACGTTTTAAAACTACTGTATTCTTTCTGCTGCACAAACTATTTCAGAGCAGAGAGGTGAAACAGGCAGTTTCCCAAAACAGCTGGGCCCATCTTTGGTCAAGGCTGTGATAAGATATGAACAGTGTGTGCTCTTCTAAGGTAGCAACACAAGACTGCTTCATATCAGCATCTGATGACATTTACTGCAAGCCTGCCTAAGGAAATACATTATAGATTTTTATAGATATAGGAAAGAAAGAAAAAAAAATGGCACAAATGTTGATTCTTCTTAGTAGAAATAGCAATCAGCTACATTCTGATACAGTCGTTTGCACAGGGTTGGACGGCCCTGGTGAAATTACCAGTTTTTGATTTTCAAAGTGAAAATAATCCTCTACATTGGACACCCTTCTGCATATTTTAATGCACAAGTACTGTTTATTTGCTGAATTTAACATATTGGAAGGATAAAAAGTCAAACATAAAATGTGGCCCATGCAAAAGGCACATTTCATATTGTTCCCCAGTATTTTAAACTCAGCAAATAAACAGAAACTGTGCTCTAAATTTGACAGAAAAATGCCACATTTTAAGCATCTTCTCTGTAAAGCATGTTTACTTGTTTTCACTTTGAAAATCAACAAAACATGTAACTTGACTGGGGGTGTCCAAATCTTTGCATAGAAGTGTAAATGATTTTAAAGCATATGTAGAAATTTAGCAGACCATGAAGATAGATTCACTTATCTTGTGATGAAAACAAATTAACCAAACTTTTTATGCATTAAATATGAAATATCAGTAAAGGACTTCTCTTTTTCAGTCATGTAGTATTTTCCAAAAGGTATCTCCACCTTCACTTAAGTACAAGAGGTACTGTCCACCAATGTACAATACAAGGCAACGTTTTATTGATTAAAAACTTTATTTGGTTGTCATTTAATGTTTACATCTGGTGGTTTGGCTTAAAAGCACTGATTATTTCTATTCAGTACCTCGTTCCAAGAAATTACAGCCTTTTACCGTTGTGGTAACCATGTCCATGTAGGAGCTTTGTCCAGTGTTGGGGCATTCATTTATTCACCAATGTACAAATTCCATTTTTAACAAAAATGTTTGGTAACACTTTATTTGGATGGTTCACTTAAGATGCTTTGTAGATACATAATTGACTTTCAAGTTACATATATCTAAATATCTACTAAATTGACCAGAATGTTCTTTAACTCTAAACCTGGCTCTAATCCTAACCCCAACTTTAACCTAAACCCAACACTCACGCTGGTCCAAATCCTAACCTTAACCCCAACACTGTTTAGAATCAACTGAGTTTCAACAGGTAGTTTGTTAACAATTTGAACACCTGTAGAGAATCTATAGGGGACTATCGTGGACAACCCAAATACAGTGAGAACAAATGTTCAGCTTTCATTTGCTGCTAGTGGGGTTGTCTTAATGTATGGTATGCCAGAGCAGAGATTGAAAACTAACTGAACGTAAAGTCTGGGTAGGACGATTAAAGAATGAATCAAGACAAGACTTTTTATTAGAAACACTTTATTAAGTTATAACAAAAGCTGAGAGATTCAAAGGAATTTAGTCTTAATTTAAAACAGCTGTTCATTTTTCATCTGATAAAAGAACCAGCACCAAAGACAGCAATAGGAGTAGAACATTGGTGTAGACTTATTGCACCACCATCCTATCCTGTTCTGCGTGGAGAAAAGAATGGAAGTAAAATGACTGAATATAACAGCAATGCAAAGAGTTACAATTCCTTTACATAGAACTATGATCACCTTTTTCATTTAGTGTGAAGGGACAGGTACGGGTACAGTACGCACACGCATGTGGTTGGAAAAGGCTAGCTGACGCCGTGACGGAGGGGGAAAAAGAGCAGAAAGCTCCATCACCTGCGGAGAACGCATTAACGCAAACTCGAAAATGGTGGGGAAAAGTACGTTTGTGTCCATGAACCCACTGAGAAGACATCCAAAATCTTTCTAGACTTCCCTTTAGGTTTGAGACACTATCTATGAAGCCAAACAATAAGCGATCTTCCTGAGACTATAGAGGGATCTAAACGCATCCTCACAGTACGCTCTATCACAAAGACATGCCAACACAAGTTGCCTTTGAGTGTATGACTCTAACCTTACACATGTACCTGAGTAAATACACTACCCTAATTAACTGCGAGAGTTCTAGTTACACATATTAAAACTGATGCCCCCCCCCCACACACACACAGCTAATTTTTTTTTTTTTCACCCTTACAAAGCTATAAACAAATAAGATCAATTCAGACGTCACAGAAAGCCAAACAAGCTGCGCTTGTACTGGAGGTTTTTTTTTTTTAATTTTAAAGATCTCGCCCCTCTTTAGCACACTGTGAAAAGTGTAGATAAATTCATAGCTGCATTATCCTTGTTTAAAGTGTAGGAGAGCACCTTTTGTTACTGGTCTAAAGTGTATTAAAACCATCTGGATCTTAAGTCTTAATAAAAGCATTATCAATAAAACAGTCGCAAAGATATCAAACACAAACAGGCAAATTGAAAACAGATAACATTAACAAAGACTATATTATATAATTATAATATTTATATATATGTATATGTATATATAGACAGACCTTTTCAGTGCTGGTAACAATGTAACAATGGACTTTCTTCTCTGGTCAATATCATACATAATAAAAAATAGCCTCCACTTCACAGAGAACGATCAGAACACACTTCTAACACATTGTAGTCTATTTAACAGCCTTGTTACCATAAAGCTTAGGGGAGGCCGATTTCTCCTTGATCACACACACAAAAAAAAGCAAAAAATAAAACGCACAAAACAATGAGAAATAAACCTGCACTCGCCTGACCATTAACAACTAGGCTACCGCTATTTCTCCAACCTCTTCTCGCTGAATACTGGTCTCTACAAGCCAGAGCAACTTGTACTTCATCATGATTTCACAGAACAGGCTTACAAATCTGGAATGGTAGAGCAGTTCACAAAAGCACCCTCGGCTCAGCGTCGAGAAAACAACTTGTGTTTCCTATGGTCTAAGCAGCACCGGTTTCACACTAAGGTGTATTATGTGAAACATTTGGACAGATTCCGGGTGATTCGACTGCACCCAGAAAAGGAGGCAATGGTCTCAAGCACAGAATTGCAGTTATTTTTTTATTTTTTATTTTTCCACAGCTAACTAAAAAGACATTTTCAAGGAAGAATGCCATACAGGCACAATAGCACCAGCCGAACTGAGTCAAATCATAACAGGTTTAAGAAAGGTGAGTCGCACCCTGCCTAAAGGCTGCTAGCACTTGCTGCTAAACATCAGCACCAGTGGAGGCAGAACCCCTACCTTTTGATGATTACGCCCCAATCAGTTATTGCCGTAGTATCACAAGCCGTTCTGTTGAAAAAGCGTGGCGGCACGGTCTAAATCGTCTTCGGTTCCTAAGAGCAAAAGGTGTTTTAAATATACGTATAATCAGCCATTGTCGACAGCACTACTGAAACATGCTTCAACGCATCACACCCGGTGCTAAATGCTATTATAAATATCTGAAAAGCCACAAAACAGCAAGAAAAAGTCCCTGTTAACAAAAGCACCCAGAATCGATCTTTTAGTCTGATGTTCGTAATATAAATAGGCACAGTCCAGAGTTGTACAGATTGTAGCACCATGTTTTTTTTTTTTGAGACTGTGAGTCAAGTACACACACTTTGCACGTATTGTGCTCTACTGTTACACACAAAAAATTAACAAAACAAAATACAATAAAAGAAACTGAAATGATAAATAATCTAAATTATATACAATTATACAGTCTGAGAGTGACTCCCATTCACAGTACAAAAAAAAGCTGTCAAAAACAAAAGGAATAATGGAAAATAAAATGAAAGTTGCCCAGTAGTTTCTGTTTGACGCTGCATTTCCCCAGTGTGTGATTTTTCTCTTCAAATCTATGTATGAGAGTTGTTTCTACTTGCAGAGAGCACCAAAACATTATCGGAGTGGATCATACAAGAACTAGGCAGATACTAGTTCTCTGTGAAACCTTTCTGAGAAAAAGGTGTTTCAGCACCACAAATCTTTATTTGTCTCGGATAAATCACCTGAATATATTGTACCATATACAACACTGAGCTCTACATGTGAATGTATCTTCGAAGGATATCAGCAGTAATTGAGGAGGGAATAAGGAAGATTCAGTTGCAACATACGGCTTGTTATATATTTAAAGTAAAAGGCAAAAAGCAAGCCTTACGCTGAGCTGGGGTTAATGTAGTGATTTTAAAATAGCTTCGGCAGTTACGATAACTAACCTGATTAACTAGCTCCTTTGACTTCATGCTTTTGCGCACAGGCTTTCAGTGTTCACTCCTGGTAGGTTGTGCTTTAGCAAGTGCGTGTGGTGGAGGTATCAAGGTAGGGGACTTAACAGTTTTCAGACACCAAATCTATTCACCCCCCAAATAAAAATGAGTTTAAAATGGTCATTTTGCTTTTTAAAGCACAAAAATCTAAAATTTACTTCACAATCATACCAGTTGTATGTAATGAACAGCTCCACAGGTCTGCTCTCCAGTGTAAATGCAGGGGAATACAGTACGGTGTAAAAGTCTTAGGCACCTGCGTAAACTGTTTAACCATTTATCTGTTTCAGAATGTTAAAACTCCATATAACATTAAAATAAATGCAAACATTAAAAGTATAAAGTAAGACTTTATTTCTGTATCAGAACACAGGTTCTGTTCCAGATTTCTCCTTGTTGACCCCCAGCCATTGCACAGTTTTGTTAAATTTCATCAGCACACTTCATTGTAGTCCAAGCTTTGATTTTCTAAACCAGGTATTTATTGTTAGCTACTATCAACACTGGGCTGCCACAAGAGGAGAGAACTTTCTGTAATAATACTGTTTGTATTTATTGTAATATTAGTGTTCTCTGAGTAAAAAAAAACACTCACTACCCAGTTAAATAGCTTTTTAAATCTAATTTTCCCCAGGTGCCTAAAACTGTAGCACAGTACTTTATTTATCAACCAAATGGCTGCATTTTTTTGAAGGACTTCCAATTCAAAATAATTCAGGACTCTCAAAATAAAGAACTGCAATTTTTCATTTTTTCAAGTAAAGTTTAAGTATATCCCACCTCATTTGTCTCTTAAGAAGGTCCTAGAATTATCCGAGTGTGCAGCAGACAGGGTTAGAATTCTAGATTTTACAGCAGGTTCCAGCACCAGGGAGGCACACAGCCATGAGGACAGGCGAACTTGCAACCAAACACATTGCTGAACCACCCTCTACAGCAAAGAGTGAGCATTCAGGAATGACAATTTATACAACGTCATGGCTCAGCTGATGTCGTTTTAATGGGATTCAAAATGTTAAAAAAAAATTGAAAATATAAAACTTCTGAGAAGAATCCATAAATTTGATTCTGCTGGACAATCACTACACATCCGTAGCATCTCTAATTGCGCATAAAAACCTCCATTGATGATGTTTAAAATGAACCATCCACCAAGGCATGAGTTAAACAGACAATTATGAATGTTAACATTGTCATTTTTGTCTATGTGCCTCCCTTTTCAACTCTCACCAGACTGGAGCACGATGCTGTGAGTGGGCCTGCATCTGTGTATATTTGTCTGTACTTGTGTGTACAAGTTCAGCTGCACCTTTGTTGAGTTCTGAAACCAATGCCGGTTTTACCGCAGCGGCTTTAGCAAACGTCAGAGCACCAGTGAGGGAGAGGAGCCCATTGGTCCACACCTGTCCATTGCATAGGTTATGTTGGGTTGAGGTAGATTGCGTCAGTTACCTGAAAGAGGTGAGAAGGTAAACAAATTTGTTGGCTGCTTCTGTTTTGTTACAGCTTAAAAGAAGTAACTGCTTATTCCACAAATAGAACTTTAAATAACTGCAGCAGTAAAGTAGGGGAGCAAAAGAAGGCTTAATTGTTAAATCGGTCAATTAATCACATAATATAAAAAGACAGCATAGGTAATTATAGGTTATTTAAAAACGGGAACAACTGTTAGCCGCATTCCGAAATTCCTAAGCAAGTCACATTTATTATGCAAGTCACCTGATCACATTTATGCAGCTGACCATAATTATGTTCCATAGTTATTAATGGTGCAACAAACAATGTGAATTAATGTTACGGGCTAATGCACGTACATAAAAGAAAGCAGATAATGCATGAGACTTGTGTCTTACAATAACAAACGTTATGACTTCACACTAACGCCTCCATAGGGCAGTAGTGAGTACTGTTTGTTTATTTGAGCTGTGTGTATCTGGCTTGTAGTTTACCAGCTGCATTCAATCAACCAAGGAAAAATATACACATACATACATACATACATACATACAAACATACATACATACGGTAGTTTTCAGTTAATTTTTGAAGTTTGCCCATTTTCATCTCTTTCGCAAAATAAATATTTTTTTTCCATAAAATTATCCTGGATGGGTTAGGACACGTCATTATCACAGACAACAACAGATACACCTCAAGATACGTCCAAGCATTACTGAGAGACAAACAGCTGTACTTATGCCTATTTAAGTAAGCCATCTTCAGCCATACTTCAGCCCAATCCTATTTCTTATTTTTACCCCTTGTTTTCGAGTGTCACCTTGCCCGTTGGAACTGAGTTACAAGGGGTAATGGCTGAAATCTTCCCCTACAAAATGGGACCCTCAAATAAAAATAATAATAATAAAAAAAAAACATTACTTCATTAACAGGTTACTTGTGATGCTCTGTATGCAACCCTGCCAGTCTACAGTGATAGCAGTAGAGGGTAAAGTTCAGCAACCACACCGCTGAGCTTTAGTTAAATTTAGGGCATCATATGACAAAGGTACCCACATGACAAGCCATGTGAAATGCTCACAAAGCCATCTTTTTTGTTTTTGTTAGTACCGTTAAGTACCAGTGTAATGGTCATTGTGCACCCTGTTGTCTTATACTTAGGCTCGGTTGTTAGGTATGAGTACTTGCATCTGACAGCGAGACGTTTGGCCGCTGTGTAAAGTCCTCTAACAATAGCACAAGGAATTTAACATCTTTTCTAAAATTGTCTACACACACAGAGAGCAAGATGACATCATCTATATGCAACAAATCAAGCCATTACCAGCTGTAACTTGCAAATTTCCTGAACCCAATGAAACAGGCTCAACAGCTCTCACACGAAGATAGAAAACCTTAAAGTCAAGATAGCACAAATATTCCTTCTTGGGAAAATATACAGTCAAAATACCATAAAAAGTGGGTTTTCAGCTTTCTTCTAGATGTGATAGAACTAGCAAAATCTGGTTGCAAGTAGGGCTGGGCGATAAAACGATAATTATCGTGATATAACTTTCCTTAATAGAAATATAAGAAACGTTCAATATAATAGAGCATTCTCACACTTCTCGGTTTAGCAACTGCCCTGGTGGTGTTTTCTACTGCAAGGAAAGCGGCACTACTCCACTGTCGCCAGAAGAGGGCGCACTAGCGAGTTTTTCAGCATGATTAGAGAGAGAGGGGGCTACCAGTAAAATGAGTCGCCAAATATACTTTGGCAGAGTCTGAAACGTGGAGTGATATAGTCCCTGTTTGAGGGAGCGATCAGCTAGCTGTTCTACTGTGACCAAGTGTGAGTGACGATATAAGTGGTGTAACTGTACTGTCCTACAGTGAACTCACCTCTTTCTGTACATCCTAACAAGCTTTAGCAGCGTTAAATCACGTCTGATACTCACAACTACAGCGCTGTTACAGCGCTCAGTCATATTTTAGTATTAGTGCATTTCCAAGTAACAAAAGTGAAAGAAAGTAGTGGGTTCATGCAAGTTACAGCCCTGATTTAAACAAAAGTAAACTGAGGATTCTGTATGTGTGGCACTGGAGAGTGGGAGATCGCTAGCTTCCCAGGCTAGCTGTTTTAGCAGCTGGCTAGCTTGAAGCAGCGCTCTGTCACTCGCACAGCATGGCCGAATTCATGTTACTGTAGAACAAGACAAAAAAGTGTTTCGGTTTAAACGTACCTAAAAGGAGAACTCTTGTTTGTCTAGCGTGAGAGAATCACACTGCAGTTAATGCTTTTGCACAGCAAGCGTCAGATGTATTGCGATTCACCCCTCAAACTACTATGATAGAATAGAGAAATCCAGTCGTCTGCTAGCTGCTGTTTTAATAGTGATGTGCTCTGACGTGGATGTGGTAGGAGTGACGGCAGCAAGGCGGTGTGACCCATCATTGATGTGCCGAGCCAGCTAATGTTTACTGTTCGTATTAAGCTAATGTTGTTGAGAAACTAAACAGTTTAGCACTTGTAACCAGATAGCCCAGCACTCACCACCAGACAGCTAAAATAATGTTTTCTTTCTTAAATTATGAATATTCCAAAAATTGTGGCTGTGCTTTTACCAGCTGGTAAAAACAGCTCACCAGAAACTCTCTCCCACTATCCCAAGACAGATTTGTGTCATATTCTGACCAAAAAGGATACTTTAAAAATGGCAATTAACCACCGCAGCCTTAAAACTTGTGTGTGTGTGTGTGTGTGTGTATATATATATATATATATATATATATATATATATATATATATATATATATATATATATCGACTGATATAAAATTTTTTATCATGATAAAACTTTTGACCATATCGCCCAGCTGTAGCTGCAAGAAAGTGAAAACTAGGGGAGATATTAATTTTTGACAAGATTCTTGATTTGGATAAAAATGATTTTATAATTTAATTACTTTGAAACATTCAGCAATAACTACTTGAATTGAATGAACATGAATTCATGCTGTAAATTATCCATTGGGTTTCTTGGATGTTCAGTACAAACTGCAACCCAATTCAGTGAAAAAGTAAACAACTGATGAGGCACAGGGTGCACATGTAAAGAATTGCAAAAATGATGAAAAAATGGCCAAACCTCAAAAAATTCATAACTAAAAAAAGTACTTGGGAGTATAACTATAAGATGTTGCCTGTTTTTTCAGATGCATTTTTTCAAGAAAATCCATTACATGAAATGGGAGGGCAAGGTTGGTATAGAATGACCCACACATGTACACACAAATATATACAGTGCCCTCCAGATATTGGCACCCCTGGTAAACATGACCAAAACAGGCTGTTTATTTATAAAAAAAAAAACCAAAAAACAAAACCCTCTCTTCATCGCTTATCCTTTTAATCCTTCATTCAAAATATTACCAGAATTATTACTGTTACCTGCATGTGCTGCAATTGTTGCCACCCCTTCATTTAATACTTTGCACAGCCTCCCTTCGCAAAGCTGAGTCTTCTCCTAAAATGCTTAATGAGGCTGGAGAACACATGGCAAAAGATCTGAAAGCATTCCTCATACAGATTCTCCAAATCAATCAGATTTTGATGCCCACACTGTGGACTCTCTTCAGCTCATCCCGCAGGTGTTCTATGGGGTTTAATTCAGGGGACTGCATTGGCCATGGCAAAATCTTAATTCTGTGGTCAGACAACCATTCTCGTGTTGATTTTAAGTTGTTCTTTGGATCACTGTCCTGCTGCAAGATGAAAACTATGGTCCAGCTTAGGCTTCCTGGCTGAGGCAGTGAGGTTTTGATTTTATTTCTGCTGGTACTTGACAGTCTGTGATACCGTGTACCCAAATAAATTGTCCAGGGCCTTTGGAAGAAGAACAGAACCACATCATAGATTCACTATACATCACAGTGGACGAGAGCGGTACTTTTCTGCATGGCTTCCTTTGCGCCCACTCTGGTGTTCGTTGCAAAAACCCCTATTTCAGTCTCATCTGACCATAAAACACGGTCCCACTGAAAATGTCAGTAACACCTGGCAAACTGTAGCCTCTTGAGTCTGTTGGTCCTTGACAGCAGAGGCCTCCTTTTGGCAACCCTCCAAACAACTTCTTGTTATATAGGTGATGTTCCTTTGTAGTTTGGAAGATGTTCTGACCTAAATAATTTCTGCAATTCCCATCTGTGATCCTTGGAGATTCTTTGTCCACTCTAACTATCCTCGCCAATGCGTGTGGGGTCAGTATAGACATACGTCCTCTACTCAACAGATTAACATCTCCAGTTTTTATAAACTTCTTATAGCTGAGAGATGACTAAGGGCATTTGGCCTGTGTTTCATCTCATATGTTCCCTAGTGAAGAATTTCTAGAGGTGCCAACAAAGCACACAAAGATTTTCAAGGTTGGATTTTTGCTCATATTTTGAATAAAAGATCAAAAGGATAAGCAATTAAAAATGTTTTTTATAGCTCATTTTGCTCATGATTACCAGGGATACCAATATTTGTGGAGAACACTACACACACACACACACACACACACACACACACACACACACACATATATACACACACACACATACACATACACATATATATATATATATATATATACACACACACACATATATATACATATATATATATATATATATATATATATATATATATATATAGTGTGCATATGATTGTGCATATAGTGAGTATATACACATACGTATATAATGAGCAAGAGAGAGAGCAATTCACCATCAGCTGAAATGTCATGACCGTGACGCATCTAATCCCACAATTAGACTGAGCATACAAAAGCAAAGCAACATACCTTGTTCAGCCAGAGACAGCAGCTGGGAGAGGTACAATGCAGCAGCTTCCCTTTTATAAATATCCCTACGCTTCTCTCCTTGCCCCCCCTCCTTCCCCAGCTCATGCCGGCTCCTATCTGGGACGGGCACTGGGGACCTGCGAGGCGGCGTAGGACGCCTGCATACCCAGAGTCCTCCAGGAAGTCACACCCCCACCTCCGCTACTGCTACCTCCACTACTACTGCTGCTGGGTGCAGCTGGAGGGGGCAGGTGAGGCTGGTAGTGGACGGTGAAGGGCCGGGAGGAGGTGGAGGAGAGGGAGGAGGCAGTGGGAGTGGCTGTGGCACAAGCGGCGGAAGCAGGGGAGGTGCCTGAATTGGAGGAGGCGGAAGGGGCGGCTCGCAGCGTCTGGAGGGAGGCGGACTGCTGTCTCTCCGAACGCGGCGGGGAGGGCTGGGGAGGGGCGGAGGACGAGGAAGAGGAGGAAACATTGAGGAGGGGGGGAGGGGGAGGCAGCGAGAGCGTAGGAGGGGAAGGAGCGTGCAGGACGGTCTGCGTGCGGCCATGCTGCGTCTGCGGAGGGGGGAAGACGGAGGAGCCCGAGGCCAGGAATGAGGGTGCTCCTGAGGCTTTGCCATCTGGATGCCTCTGCTGGGAGGAAGAGAGACTGAGCAGAGAGCCGAGCGCCCCAGGGCTGACCAGCGTGGCCCCAGACTGCTGAGAGGAGACTGAAGAAGGCACCATGTGGTGAAAGATCCCTGCGGACACAAAGCGAGAGAGACAGAGAGAGACAGAGAGAGATAGAGATATGTGGTGGATAGATAAATGAGAGAGAGATGGAGTAGACAGAGAGAGAGAGAGAGTAGACAGACAGAGATACATGGGAGGGAGGGAGGGAGGGAGGGAGAGAGAGAGAGAGAGAGAGAGAGAGAGAGAGAGAGAGAGAGAGAGAGAGAGAGAGAGAGAGAGAGTAGACAGAAAGAAAGGGAGACAGAGAGAGAATGGGGGCTGAGCCAGGTTGTGCATAGCAGCAAGCAAGTCAGACAAAGCACACAAAGCAATAAGGCATTCCACTGCTGACCCAACACAGTTGAACACAACATGAATTTAAGTATCTGTCTCAATCAAGCAGACAAGCCTGACCTGGACAGAAATCTATTTGCCTTCAAAGAACTGGGTTGCCAGAGGAATGTCTCAACACCACAAACAAGATGTGCAAATATGATACCAACACTCTTAGAAAAAAATAAGTGACAGCTGCCTTGAAGTCCAGAACTCACGTATCATGGGTTTCTAACTAATGAAACAACTAAAAGTCAAACAAGAATCAGAAAAATTTTGATAAATTTTTTATTTAACGGTCTTCAAGGTATCAAGGTATGCCAAAAGTCTCAGGAATTGTTTCATTTTTGCGGATATAGCCTTGAAGGCATTACTCTTCTTCTTTTGCAGAACTCTTCTTCTGCAAAAAATTGGTTGCCTTTTAGGGCCATTTTCTAAGGGTGCGCAACTTTAGACTGTGCACAGTCAGCTAGTGGTTGAGCAGCACACAAAGCAGCATGGGGGAAGCCAGGCAGGGCAGCAGCACTGGGCTCACACTTACCTTAAACACTCCAAAACGGCCTGCCAAACTCAACACAAACAGACCCAAAAGAGGCATGAGAAAAACACGGGATGGAACAACTCACCACCTGCAGCACCCCCTGCCAGTCCGGCACTGGAAAAGCTGCCCAGCGCTGAGTGGCCATTGACCAATCGTGTAGCTCCGCTGGTGGCTGGGCTGGAAGTCTGTGTTCCGAAGAAGGACTGCAAGACTGAGGCTCCGCCCAGAGGGAAGTACTGTCCCACAGAGGAGGCAGAAGAAACTGTGTTGGCTCCACCCACTTTTCCACTCAGGATGCCACCGCTGGTCGCAGCAGAGATGAAGAGGTTCTGGCTGGCCAATCCGCTCACAGCCTTCAGCTCCCACTCCCGGGGTTTCTGTTTCTGCTGCTGCCTCTCAGATAGTGCTGTTGAGCGACCACCTGCTTCCGAGCCCAGGAAGGCCTTCGGGTTCCCATAAGACTCACTCCGCTCCCGCTCTGCCCTCCTCTGCTGCTTCTGGTCTGAGTCAGAATCTGTTCCTCCCCCAGCGCCACGGGACATGCCAAAAGGAGAGCCTCCTTGCCGGAGGTCAGGTGGAGTAGGCTTGGGGTCGGAGATAGGTGAGAAGGTGGACTTCCATTTGCTGGAAGAGGAGGAGACCTCGCTGCTCACACTGCTGGCCCCAGATTTACGGCCCTGAGAACCTATAGGAGGCATGCCAGATATAACATTATGTACTTACACTGAATATAAAAAGCACTTGAAATCTGTTCCTAAAACCTACATTCGGTTTCACTTATTTTTTTTTTTTTTAATTAAACAAATACTTATGCGCCTTACCCCTATCACCATCTCGGCTCTCGAGGGAAATTGTTGCGATTTTCCTTTCAATTCTAAAGAAAAAACAAATAGATTAGGGCAGAACAGCTACTTCAGAGATGAGAGAACGAAGCTTTAGCAAACAGACGGCTTGTAAGAGCAAGACTGCAGTTCAAAAATGAGCTTCCCCTCACCGCGAGGAGCTGCTGTCTGCAGGGTAGCCAGCATCCTCGTCCTCCGAGCTGGGGGTGGAAGAGTAGCGGCTAGAGCCGTTGAGCTCGAGGGGGCGCTCCCTCTTCAGGATTGGTGGTTGATCCAGGTCTGCTTCACGTGGGCTGCGGCCCGAATGCTCCGGAGACGAGATGGCTGCAATCTCCAGGGGCTGATTAATGTTGTTCACCTGAGGTTAAAATGAGATTTATTAATTAATGAGCCCAAGGTGAAGCTTCACAAAGAAAATCTAACCAAGAAGCTTACATACAAAGAAGTCAGGTCTTCTGGTACAAAAGCCACAAGTTATGGAAATTAGGGATGGGCATTTCAGGCAAAATTACTATTCGTCAAGGCATTTGAAAAACTGAATAGTTATTCAGGAAGATGAACTTGCTGACATGCTCTGGGTGCAGTTGAGAGCACATACATCCTACACAGATTTAGCATACATTAGCATTCTAGGTGAGCTTATTTTCATACAAAATCCAAAATCTGAGATTGTATATTGCTGCCAAATATTCAGATTGTCTAAACGCCTGATTTACCATTTTCCCTTTCAAACTCTTCCCTAATAAAAATATCACTAATACCAAACCTACTACCACCATTTTCATACCCTAACTTGTTGACCACTTACCATGGTGTTGATATTTAGGGGGGAACCAGAAGTGTGAGGGGCACAACCCAGGCCAGGAAACGACCTCCTCTTGGGAGAGCCGCTTCCTGGAGGAACCCCAGAGGAGCTGCGCTTCCGACGACCTCTCTTGCGGCCCTCCTGACCGTGGGAGCCTGGAGAGTGGTGGTGGTGATGGTGGTGGTGGTGGTGGTGATGATGGCTGCCGTGGTGGTGCGGCTTGGATGATCCATGGTGCAGCCGGGAGCCTCCAGCAGAGGAGGAGCATGAAGAGGATGAAGAGGAGGAGGAAGAAAAGAAGATGCGACGGCGGGCCTCACTGTCCAGAAGCTCAGTGTCTGATTCGGGACCCTGGCGCTCAGGGCCCTCCTCAGGAGGGAGGCGGGGAGGCCTGTCTGCATACTGCAGGACTCCTCCAGTGCCCAGGGGAGGGCTGAGACCAGGGCCACGGGACTGGGGGCCCAGCAGAGGGGTACTGTGGGGTGGTGGGGATGGAGCGTCACAGTCCTGATCTCCTGTCAGCATGGCAGAGTGGGAACCATTCACCAACCCTGAGTGGGAAGAGTACCCTGAAAGAGACACACACATCAGCAGCAGCACCTGTTAGCTACAGTATTCACCTCGTAGTCTAGATTGGGCAGGGCAGCACACTAGTAATAAATGAAAGTGTAACATTCAGTGCTCATGTACATTTTTAGCATCAGTATTCAAATACTGGGTATTCATCACATTGCATCGTGGGAAGAGACAAAGAAATGATACAGGACAGCACTTTAGTGAAACAGGTATGTTTTTGTAATTTAACAGTCTTGCACATCATTTAACTGAGCTACTGCATTTAGTAGTTGCACTATTTTAATGAGTAATTCCAGTTTATCATTTTTAATGATATAGTGACATTCAGTAAAGTTTTTGCAGTGCATTCAATGTTCTAATTTGTTTCTGTATTATCTTTACTAACATACACACAACTAACTGTTAGGGTTACCGTATTTCTCAAATTTAAGTGAGGTCTGCAAAATCTTTTTTGTGAGTAAGCTCAACTTACACTGTTTTGCTGACCTAAATGAGATGCAGTACTAAAAATATAAACTAGGAGAACTTTTGACTGCACTAAATTAAGAAAATTACACATAAGAAAGCTATGCAAAAACTTGACCTGACCTAATTTCTTTCACACTGCAATTCTTTTTTTCTTCTACTACCAGAAAAGTCTTAAAATAGATGTTAGGCAGTTCAGAGTATGTCTAATTCCTCTTTTACTATAAGGAGGCATTAAACTGTAAGATGAGGCCTAAAGATAAGGTTGAAGAGATTAAACTACATTTTAGAGGCATTAATTGAGAATAGTCCAATAACCAAATTATGCAAATCAACAGTTGACCTGACTTAATTCGTTTTTCCACAGCCAAAGTCTTACGGAAGTCAGAACACACATTCCCAAAACATACCTGAGTTAGGTGTCAGAGGCTGTTTGCTGTTGCTCTGCCCCGCTGACTGCTCTCTACTGGACACAGGACTGGGAGTGTTCCTCTGCCATAATGTATATTAAGAAGTGACAGTTAAGAACAAACAGCATTCTCTTGGAAGAAATACTATAATACCATGGAAGAAGAAGAGAAAGAATAAATAAATAAACCACACATACCAGTCTCTCAGCTCGACTTGGCAGCACTACACTGGCCAATGGGATGCTGACAGGAAGCTTGTTGGGGTGCACAGTGCTAAGAGGAATGCTAATTGGGAGACTAGTGATATTGTCACCTGGACCTGCTGGGCTCTTCTCCTTACTCATCTAAGACAGAGAGACAAGAGAGCACACAAACACTTATTAAATACATACAAGACTGGACACTTTACCAGATTCTTGAAAGCTAATACACAATTCTATACTACCACAAAAGAACGCATACAATCAGTACTAAGCGTCAGTTACCCTCTCTGCACTCTTGGGTGTGGTTATTTGTTGATTATCAGATGCACTGGGGGAGGGGCAACCCTGTTTTAGACTTAAGGTAGGAGATGAAACAACACCAACATCACCCCTGAAAGGCAAAACAACAAACTTAATGATTATATATTATTAACCCAACAGTCAGAGCCTAGTGAAAACAGAACAACAGACTGACCTGTGGATGGACCCAAGTGATCTGAACTGGCCTGCGGATGGGTCCTGGTTCAGATGCCTGCGCAGGGCGATCTTGGCTGGAGAAAAACGAGTGTAGTCAGGCAGCGGCTGCCCCACCTGTCTGCCCCGGGAGTCCGGGGTGGGTGGCACAATCTCGTGGTCAGGCGAGATGGGCAGGTAGCGGGACAGGAGCTCATTCTTGCCGCTGCTGCTGCCCCGCTCGTAGCTGGGAGAGGCTGTGCCGTTAATTGACAGCTCAGGGCTGAGGCCGTTGAGGCCAGCAAGTTTTGGGGTATCGGAGTCCAGAGGGGGGCGCGGCTCCAGACTTGGAAGGCTCTTGCGGTAGGGCGAGTCCTCACAGGGGCTGTAAGAGGATTTGAGTTGCAGCAACTCCTGCTGTCTCTGGCTCTTCTCCAGCTCCACGATGCTGATCTGAAAAGAGAAAGAAAGGGGCAGTGTTAGACATTAGAGAGAAAACTAGCAGCTGCCCTTATTGTAAAAATCTGTTTGACAAGTGGTTGCTTCCTTCATGGTGAAAGAAAAGAACAGACTATCAATCCTGACATCTCCTGTAACGTACTGCAACAACTGGTATAATAATCATGTACTCTTTTTTGTAAACCAACTTTACTGACTGTCAACTAATCATCCCCGCCCTGTCGAATGTCAGTAAAAATATTTTTTTTCGAAAACTATACATACTCTGCCATTACAACTGGCAGTCAGTACTGCTGTTTGGTTACTGATTTAAACATTTTTGTTAATGCATGCAAGTCTGTGAGGTACCTGAAGCTCCAGACAGTGGCGCTGTTTCTCAGAAATCTGCCTGCGAAGGGCTGCTTTCTCTTTCAACAGAGTCTCCAGACACAAAGAGCCCCAGTCCAACTTCAACTCCTCACAGCGAGCCTTCAGCTGCATGGGACAAGATAGCATTGGCTAAAACAGCGCAGACAATATGCAAGTTCACCAATTTTGTAAGACTGCAGACTCCACTGGATTCTAAATTGTTAATGAGGAATTGCAAACCAGTGGAAAAATGTAATCAAAACAGCATTTTGCACTGTCCTAATTTTTTCCATAATTTGCTATATATTAAAAAGACATTTTTAAGTGCTATGAATGGCCTGTCTTATTCTGACAAAATGACATTTGTTGGATCACATAAAAGCTTCAATCTGTCAGAAAACACACAGAAACACTCACCTAACCTAAGGTTAGTCAAGATGTTCACAGCACCCAACTGGGTAAAGAGCTTATTTGCATATAGCAGTCAGTACTGTAGAGCCCTAGAACTCATACAGCACTAAGGGTCATCACCCAGAGAGCAATTCTGAAGAAATTCATGTCACTGGGGCTTACCAACATCAGGCTCTGGTCCTTCAACTCAGCCATGTCCCTCTCCAGTTGCTTGGTCTGCTCCCTCAGTTGCATGTTGTGGGCTGTGATCTCTTTCTGAGCCTGCACCAGGTCCTCCACAGTCACTGCCTTCACTCCCAGCTGCAAGGGGGTCAATATGGGGATGTCACTAAGCTAACAGTCAAACAGGTCACACTATCTGAGAGCTTTGGTTGTTTTAGTTGTCAAATCGACAAGAGCTTCGGGTTTTATTGTCACATATGTTCAGATTTCAGGAGCTCATTCTGGTCTGCCCATTTACACACCCATGCGCATACTCACACACAGTCTTACCTCCTCCAGTTTGGACTGGAAAAGGTCTTTGATCCTCTCTTTGTGAGCATGGCAAGCATTCATCAGCTGCTGGGCTTGACCTGACAATTCAGTGTGTCTGAGCTATAAGGGGTGTGTATGTGTGCAAAGAAAAGAAAGAGAAAAACATAAGTTAATGCTAATACACTGCCAAAACACTTTTATAACAAGGCCAACAGTTTAAGCAAATGTTACATTTGCATACAACAGAAAAGAAACTATAGAAAAAGCTAATTCAAAATGTTAATGAAAACAGAGTATAAGATCTTCATTAAAAATAGGGAAAAAGTAAAGAAACCTAAAAAGTAAATGTGCACAACAGGGCCACAAATCCAGACTGGAAATGTGAAATGTGAAGTACTGTACCCTCTCTTGCTCCAGAGCTTGCTCTATGTTTGTGCGGTACTGTGGTGTCTTCATATAAGCCATGAACTGCAGGTACTGGACTTTGATGTTATCTGTGGTGAAAAAGATCAATAACTGTTAGCTGTCTCACCAACACTCATACTGCCATCAAATTGCAGGTATGAAACCAGTTTGGTACAAACTAGAGCTGGGCATTATTTTTCGATATCATGATGAATTACTTCACAATGTATCACAATCTGAGGAGATCATGGATACCATCAATGCACAAAAATCAAACAAGTTTGACTGCAAAAAAAGTGCAATTAGTCCTGTTTATTTCAATCTAACCCAGGGCAGTATGTGAGATATTGAATACCAATTATTATACAGAATTTGAGAGTATTTTTAATAAAATATGGCACTACTTGGTCTTTTCCAAGCAGTGGGATATTTCATTTTTGCCATAAATATGTACGCATGTATGTAATAGCTGAGAATTCCTAGTCAAACTAAACTGCTTCAGTGTTAGGATGCTTACCAAGCAGAGTCTGCAGGCCAGGCGGCGCAGAACCAAGTAGGAGCTGGCTCGCTGTGTAATGCTGCACTTTGGGAGGTAGCTGGTAGAAGGGGCTTTGAGGTGACCTGTATCCATCTAGGGGGAGCAACAACAACAACAACTGCAGTGTCACCTAAGCACAAAACAACACTATTACATGTGAAACGCTAGTACATACTGTGAACTAATCTTCAAAGTGTAAAATGTAGGCAGACCATTTGTGCTATCAGGAAGGGATTGCGCTTAGTCAATATACTTCATATCAAACTTTGGAACTACCATGCAGTGATAAACTCTGTATGCAACATCCATTCAAAAATTTTCAACCAGTAGTAGTTGTTTTCTTCCTTTCTGCTTTGCAATGCAGCAGGGACCACATCTATCTACATGTTGCTGAAAAACATTTTTTTCTTTTTATTTGCATTTTGGCTTCCCAGCCACATGTGAACGCCGTTTTCGCAAAATGAAAATGATGGCTTTTGAAAATGCTCTCCATGGTGGATATTGTTTATTGTTTTTGTGTGGACCAGCAAAACACATCTTTTGAAAAGGATGACATCATTCCATTATCTTGCGCATGTCTGTAGCAGTTTTTATTTACAGAGCATGCAAAACTATGTACGAAATATGACCGACTACTGGGTTGTTTCTGTGCACTCAGCAATTTACGAGTCATTTGGGCGTTGACAACATAACTGAAATTGTCTTCACTTTTTCATTAAACCCTAATTTGGAGGCGTCAGAACATACTGTGCTTAGTTCTTGTAACTGCAGTATCACCTAGAATGCTGATATTTAAACACCTCAGTATTTCTTAAAAGACTTTATAAAATCTAACTAAAGTCAGATTCAAAATAAATCCTAACTCCATGATTTAACTGGGGTGAAAGGCCAGAAAAACGTTGCCTGCCTCATCAAGACTGTGTAGACATTTCATAGATGGTGTCATAGCCATGGCAACGTAAACAACCCCATGGCAAGCAGTAGGTTTGCTTCCGCTTTTTAAAACTTATTTGCAAGCGAAAACCGGACTCTGAATTTCTGAGATTCCGAATTATGGAAGGCTGCAGGCCTGCAAGTCAACATCTATAGTGTCTGCAACACAGCTGTCAAATTGTTAAATCTCCGCTTTAGCTTTGTGTGTTCTTCTTGAGGTGCATGACATCAAATCTTGTTGGATATTATCTTCCTCTTTGATAGATAATAATGGCATGTCGTGAGTGATTTTGAGCGTTTTTCTCATGTAGAGATTTTCAAAAACAATGCTGTGGACAATTTTTTGGAAAACGGAGGGAGAACTACGTTTTTTAAATATACGGATGTGTGTGGATCAGGCCTCAGTATGCATGTTGGATTTTTTTAATTTACTCAACTTTAGCAGTAAATACTAAATTCTGCAAGCTCAAAATACGATTAAAATTAGTCTCCAGCATACAGTTAGGATAGGGCAAAGACTGGGTACAGCCAGGCTAAGGCAGATGATGTGACTGGTCCACACTCACCCTGAGGAGGGGCTGCTGAGAGTGTCTTGGCATGTAGCAGTTCCAAAGCGCTCTGGCTTTTCTTGGTCTTGCGCTCAGCAGCCGCTGCCGCCGCTGCCGATGCCTTCTTAGGCCGCCCACGTTTCTTGTTGCCCAGCTTGCGGCCCTTGGCCAGTAGCTTGGCACGACGGGGTTTAGGAGACGGCTTCACAGGTACCAGCGGAACTGAGCTCTCTTCCTCACCACCGGAGTCCTGATTGAAGGAAGAGAGTGGGAGGCATTTTCCTTTTGGGCATGTATTTTTTGAGCAAGCAATACAGTGTGTTCCAAAGCTAAAAATAGCACACGTTCAGCCCTTTTGGGCTGTGGGCTGAGGCATTCATTCAGATATGCCATTCAAAAACTCAAAGTCGGCCTTTGCTGGTACAGTCACAATAGTGCAATTCTTTTGAAGACTGAAATGAGCCAAGATGTGCAGAATTACCCTGTGCTCCTTCGGCTTGGTCGGAGTGGTGGTGTTGCTCTTATTCTCCTTGGTGTCCTTCTGCTGACGTCGTCTTGCTGCCTCCTGCTCCTCCTGCAGCCATAACAAGGAGGGGAAAAAGGAGATTGCAAATTTATCATTAATAAAACTGATAAGTGTGGCCTAATACTTTCTCTATTTTTAAAGAACAACTGCTTTGCAATGATTCAACACAATTATCTCGAATGGTCTGCAATGATTTAACATTGATTAGCATTTAACAAGACTGCATAACAGACTTTGCACTTACCCTGAGTTTAGGATTTTTGAGACTAGAAAAATAGTTTTCAAGCTGTGAAAAAAGAAAAGCAATTGCTTAGAAAGTAACAGGCATGCATTTATTGCTTAAATAATGCTGACCTATCATATAAATATTAAACATAACAGTTTGTTTTACTCATTGGCAGCAGATTACTGTTTGCAGCAAAGGTGTAACAGCATTACACACTTTTTTGGGTGTACACAAAAAAGCACTCACTATGGTACGGTCTATTGTATGGAGATAGTAGGAAACTGGCTTCCCCGTCCACGACACTGAGCCTCTCAGTGGAGACAGTTCAACAACACGCATTATCGTGGCAATATCTGTACAACAGAACGACAAACAGCAGTTACAATGAAGCCAAGTAAAAATGAAGCTATAATGAATCAAGATGCCCGCAAACCTAAAACTTACCACTCAAGTTTCGACTATTTATTCTAAAATTGAGAGGTGCAAAAGGTTTTGAGGATACAATTTTTCCACCTAAAAGAGAGCAGATAGACATCAAGTCAACTGTTGTCTGTTGTACTTAAAACTAACAAAACTAAAACAAACAAGCCAAAAAATCTGAAACACTATTTTATTAACTTTTACCAGTTTAATCGTTGCTTTACTGGGACTACTAAGCACTTAGATAGCTAGCTAAGTGTTTGCTACTATGCTTTATTTAAATGTTATAAAAAACTATATGAAGATCACATGTACAAACCTTCCTTCATGTTGGCAAATCTTTCCTTCAGCTGGTGATCTACTTCTGGACCAAAGGCAAAGTTATTCACAAAAATAACACTGCAAGAGAACATATACAATTACTACCAATCACATTCTATTACATATTTTATTACACAGCTGTAAATTAATCTTTTTCTACATAGGAATGACATTAATGAATTCAAAAGAAATTAAAGCAGGTAATCTTTATGAGTTCCCTGCAAGTATTTTAACGTATCTGCACAAAACTGGCGATGATGAAATTATGCTTACAAACCATGCAATAAGTTTAATATATGAATAAACATCTGATCAACGATAAACTAACATAAGCTGTACCTTGTGTTGGCTATCCTTTCCTTCCAGTCTTCAGAAAGGAAATCTCCTCTCTCCAGCTATGGAACAATAAATCAAAATCAATGAACACAACAAAGTGCCCCGTGATGCCACTGACTGCATGTTTACATGCAGTCATACTGCGTTTAGATTTAATTCATACTCTACCGAATGAGCCCTCCAGGCCACAAGCACCAAGCTCTAATGGAGGATTCTAACTGAGCACATTTTCACCAGGACTTCGAAACATCTAAAAATTCCGAATGAACCACAATTTAACTATTAACAGTAAATAGAATAGCAGAGGTCTGCACTGTGTGGGACATTTACCGTGCTGTGCGCAGGAGCCAATGTGAGTAGCCTAAATAAATTAGAACAGTCCCTAAATCTATATCTATATTATATATATATATAAATAAATAAATCGTGTATATTGTATGATTTAGTGATAGTGATAACAAAATCATAACAACAATATAACAAAATGAATGAAGTAATTTTCATTTTTTCAATGTTCAATTTTGATTTCATTTCATCACGTGAACAATTTTTTTTTTCGGCTTCTTTCATACACAATACTGAAATCCAATGCAATGTGACCTCTGTCTAAATAGACTTTTCCATCAACGCAACTCATCTTCATAACAAGGGAAGTTATGGGTTAAACTTCACATCTTTTGTTTTGGAGGACACACAAGACAAGCGCTGGCAATGTAAACAAATAAGCATTGCACCTTCTTACGACAACAATTAAACTAACAACTATGTAAAATCACATTTACTGCAAAGACATTTTGGGAGGAAAAAGTCAAAGTGTGAGTCAAAGGAGTCCACACACAGATCAGGCATCTTTATCCTGTATATCACCATTATGACACATACCACCACTTGCGTCACTTCTTTTTTTATGACGAGGAAAGGAAAGAAAAAAAAAACAAAAAACACCAAAAAAAAACTCTGCTTCCTTTTTCTGCTTGATCAGATTTCACAATTAAAACGAGCACAGAAAATTCACTTTTGACACTGTAAAATTTGTTCAATGTGGTCATTTTAGTTTCTGCCATTTGTCCTTGTAGGGTAAAGCAGCAGCTCATACAGCTCACTTCATCACGAGAAAGGAACCCATTATCCTTAAGGAAAGGTAGACGACGACATGCTGGGTTGGTTCTTTGCTCTTTTGTGCATGTGGGTCAATCCAGCAGCACAATCTGGTCAGTCTGACGTCAGATATAGGTCACATCGAAAGGTAATGTGAACGACCAAACGGATTTGGGGCCACTTTTACCTGCAATCTGAATGTAGCCTATGTTTTTTACAGATATGCTCAATTACAACATCATTATCATCATCATCATCATCATCATCATCTAAGCCTCAGACAACCTGCCCTTTCCTCCACCGAATCTAATAAGCATTTGGGTTGGATTCAGGGGCAAATGACTTGTGGTGGATTCCAAATGTCTGCAAATCTGTTTTACCACATGCTACTGCATCAGCTCAGCATGTTGGGGGGGGGGACAAAAAAAAAAAAACTTGCCAGTATGTTAGGTTATTACCACTAATAATAGGTGCACATAAAAGCAGCTGACCCTTCCTATAACTTACCGTATACTCCCCATGTTTTTTCCCATACCACTTCATCCACCTCTTGAATTCTCGGTCCATTGCCTGCAGCCAAAGCAAAAATAAATAAATAAAAAAAAAAAAAATACAATTAATGTATTTTATTACATATTCAAATACACTTACATACTCAATCTATACAATCAGTTCTGTATGTATTCATGTGTGCTTTTACTGAGAATACGCCCTCTACATCTTGACTTCACTACACCTAGCAAGGTACTGCTGCAAGGCTTTGTACCCCTCTAGCTGACACTTAGCATTGAGCATTGTGGCCTTGTGCTCATGAGCAGCTGCTCCACAGTGTCCTATTCTATTGGTAAAGCTTTCTATGGAGACTATACAAGCTGTGTATGCGCAGCTAAACGCATGTGTCAGTAATGGATGCACTTTAAAGCAAAACTAATTGGAAGGGGTGTCAGTATACTGTTGCACGTAGTTTACATCAAGATGATTTTGCACATCAGGTACATTTAAATGTGTACAGAAATAAACAGTGTTGTACCTCTGCATACGTAGCTGGAATTTCAGCCTTCTCAACACCATAGTAATGCTTACAGTTAGTGGCTGCAGCAACCTGCAGGACTACTTGACCAACACCTGCAATTCAAGAAAAGACAACAGTCAGTAACCTGTAATCAAAGTATGAAACATGCAAATGGAAGAAAAAGCTAAACAGAGCCCTCACTAAGAGCACATTCACACCCACACGCCCAGCCTACAACCATATGGACAGAGATGATGCCTTCACACTGACACATATGCACACTCAAAGTGTGAATGAGTAAATGACACCACGTCTGTTTAAACTGGGTGAAATAACAATCATTGTTTCGCTGGCAAGAGTTGCTACATTAACAACATACATACCAGTACATACAAACAGAAGGGAGAAAAAAAAAAAAACAAACACACAATACCAGTTTTATTACTCACTGTACTTACGTGATATAAAGATGAAGGGAACAGACTAGTGCGATTCAATGTCTGTAATATAGCTAGTTTTATCACGTTTTCTCAGACATACAAGAGCAACACTTCACAGAACTGAACACAGTTTGTTCACAGCTAAAGGGCAGCACCTTATCAGTTTATGTCACATACTAAACAACGTTTGCAAAGGTATAAGCATGAACCAAGCGAACTATTCTTGTATAAATATTTATACATTTCTATGCTTTATGGAATTCTGTAATTGTGATAGGTTCATGTAAGCTTCATTTCCACTGTAGAGCCAAATTGTTCTCTGCAATTCCGTGCTGGTGTGGATTTGTGAGACTGGTTAGTTTTTTTTTCCCCCCATCTGCTGTGCTGCTAAATCAGAACCAGGAAATACTGAAGAAAACTACCCAAAAAGAGTGGCTGACTGCTAATAGCCTAATACCTACACACACACAAACACACACGTTTGATTCCAGCTGTCACTCCGACACCAACTGCTCGGCATGTACTGTGGTTGGAAGCGTTTACTGGGCTTAACCCAGCAGGTTACAGCTTAAAATCCGAATCGGAATCACTTTATTTTGCCAAGTATGTTAAACATACAAGGCATTTGTCTCGGTGAGTGCACACATGTATGACATGGAACATACTGAACAGACCAGACACAGGCTTGTTATTGTCTAAAACACTATAGAACAAGTTTGATTTCGACTTTGTCACTTCAACACCAATCAGTCAACTACACTTGTGATAGCAGAGCACCATTTAGGCAAACTGAGCCTGTATTGGGTTAATCACGTCTCACTAGCTAAGCTAGATAGGAGCGAGGCGTCGGTTAGCATTAGCTTAGCTAGAAGGCTACAGATCCAAACACCTCAGAGCAGGTTTAATATCGGGTTATTGTCCCTCCAACACCAACCGCTCACTTTCGCTTCCTCAAATTTTAGTCATTATCATCTGAACTTGTGTCAGTAAAGCTTTTGTTTGTCAGTATCAAACCTGTTCTGTGGTGAGCAGGGCTGGCAGCATGCTAGCTAAGCTAATATTAACCAACTACTCTCTCCTGGTTAGCAGCGCTGTTTAACATAGAAATTGTTGCCAGATTTAAGGTCTGATATTCGCTGAACGGTGGACTTAAAATCACACACTGCTCTGACTTATTTGGTATCCGTGGGAGCGAACTGAAGCTATTTGTTTTCGGTTTTAAAATAATACATGTGGCACAATACTGACATAAACGTACAACAAATCAGCAAACATCTATGTTGTTACGTCGTCCCGCCAAACGGTTCTGTGGCCCTGAACACAGTTAGATAACAGTGTCGATATAACCACACTGAGCCTGATTTTTAAGCGTTCTGTATCAAACCATATCCATGTTGTCATACCACTGGGTTACCCGCCATGCTTGGAACCGTGTGGCCTTTCAGTGAAAAAGAGGCCTGTGTCAATGTACAGAGCTCTAGCAATGCTGAGACATACAACAGCGTGTTTGGTGGAAGTCGATTTCATTTTATTTTTTCTTTAAAGTACGCTGCCAGTTTTAATCCTTATGCTGTCTTATCATGCCAATTCCACATCGTGCGCACCACTACAGAAGGTTATATATTGTTGCAATAATGCCTTCCAGTGCGTCCCACCAGACGATCTTCCTGTAATGGCAGCCGTATGGGCGGCAGCCACAGCAGCAGAGCCAGTAAAGGCGAGGACATCATAAGTCTGTTATAGATTATTCTGTTGTTAACCAAATTAAACAGGTAAATAGGAAGTCACGGGGTACTGAATTATAACACTACAGTAAAATGAAAGAGTACTTGTCAATTACCACCCTGACCGGTTACTCAGACTACTTTTGTTAAAGCAAGGACACTGACCACTGCCCAGGTCCACAAAGGTATCATCCTCCATCATCTCGATTTCATCTATGATCTGAGCCACCAAGTCAAAGGAGGTCTCTCCGTACACCTCTGGGGAAAAGGGCTCGTAGTTGTTGAGTTTCTCTGGATCAGTGACGGAGTGGTTGTAGACCTGCTGCAGGATGTGGCGTAGCAGGCCATTGGAAGGCCTCTTATTCAGCTTCATGGGCTGAGTGGTCCCTTTCCACTGTAATCAAAAATATAGAAAGCTTGATCAGTCAGGTTATCTACAAGCAGCTGAGTCATTAGACTGTTACCATCTTTATTTGCCATCTGTATAACTGAAAGTAATGTAATCATTCTTAGCATGAGTCAACTCACCAGCTGGTGAATGCTGTCAATGGCTCTGTTGTACTTGTCACATAGTCTCTGCATACTCTCAAAACTGCAACAGAACTTAGGTATTAATTTTCATATGTGCATGTCTTTAAAATCACAGGTCAGTTTCCCAGCCCTAGACTAAGCCCAAAGTCACTGAAGAAACGGTCTTTGAAGAAAACAGTGGATTAATGTTCTCTCTTATATTTTTGGAAAGCTACTGACTGTTAAATTGTCATACTCCATCAGCAACACCTAAACGACACTCAAGCTCTAACCAGTGATTATAATCATCTACACTCCCTAGGGATAAGAAAATACCTCTTGGTGTCATAGTCGATGAGCACGTAGTTCTCCATGGCCAGTTTAAGGTCTGGTATCTCCTCACACACCCATCTACATCAAAAAAAGAGCCACGTTTAAACAAGTTTAACGTTGACAACCCCCATCTCAGTCACCTATCACTGCAGAGTCAGAGTGAGACTTACCGAATGGTTTCAATGATTTCATGTGCAGCATCATGATGTTTGTCCTATAAAGAGAGAAAAAAAACAGAGAAGTGGTAAATAAGTGGCAACTGAAACTGACACAAAAGTCAACAGCAAAGACAGACAACACAGTAAGGTCAAAGAGCATAACTAGCATGAGTAAACAAAGCAAAGTTTTCACAATTGTTTTGGGCAAAACTGCTACATTTATATATGATGTGTGTGCAAGATGAATCCATAGCTTTAAGGTTGAAGTTCTTGCTAGCTAAATAAATAAATAAATAAATAAATGCATGCTGCCCGTAATTAGCGAAACAGCTTTTATCAACCATTTGACACTCACGAGTGTTGGTTTCAAGAAAACCAGCTTTCAAAATGTTGTACCACAAATGTTAAAACATTTCCAACAAGTTTGTCTTTTCCTGCCTTTTGCAATTTGTTTTCATCCAACATATTATTCCATTAATGCAACAATGAAAATGCTTCTCAAGCAAAGCATGGCTCTTCAGCCAGTACATTTCAGCTTCATAGTACTACTGTAGCCTGATTTATGACATTACAATTTACATAGAATAATGTTTTAATGATAATCAGTCTCTACTGTCTTCTGGCTCATGACTTCATTATTATTTTTATTATCTCTACTACGGATGCATTGTGGGCTGATGCCGATAGCAAATATTTTTCCATGGACATATCTGCCAGTGCTGGTAAATAAACGTTTATAAAACGTAGAAGTCAGGACTAAATCTATCTGAATTAGCACTGTGAAGAAATGTAATGTTTATTCAAGGAGGGATACAAATAGGGCTCAACCATCTGGGGAAAATATCTAACTGTGATTTTTCTCAACAATACTGTGAGTGTGCTGATTATTTTCTGTAAATTAAAGTCCATGCCTGCTTTTCTGGCCAAGAAGACCAGAATATCCACTTTTTTTGGCTTAAGCTTTGAATGCTGAAAGCAATGCTCCAGTCTGCCAGTTGTGGTTGTGCTGTTAGGTACATCCCACATGGGCATTTCACTGCCTCTGAGTTTACAAGACCTGTGTTATTAGGTTAAACTTCCCCATGTAAAACTTTCAACGTTGTTTAGAATGCAGGCTATAATACAAACTGCAGCTCTTGCGATTTTAAAATTGCAAACTGTGATTTTGATATAAAATAATTAATCTTTCAGGTCTAGTTCCAAATGAGGTAAAATTAATAAAATAATTTTTTTTTTTTTAGCACAGTAGCCCTGGGTCACCTAAAAAGTCTACTCTTACAGATAACAATAAATATGTTGTCAAATATCGGTTCGAAATATCGATCAATATAAATATATATGCAGACATACACTTTAAACATTATGATTCCAATATTATTATGCATCATTAATGTTTGTACTTTTTATTTCATATTATTAATGATTTACATATGGTGTCTAAAGTTCAGATACATTTTAAATACTGACTTGAAAGGTGCTTAAAATACTATTATTATTACTGTTATTATTACTACCATCTAAAAATGGCACTGCCACAGCAGGGCATGCGGACCTGCATGGCTGCATCCAAGCCACAGCAGTCCTGCCACTGGCTGACCCAGTGACCCACTTTCAGTCAGCAGGGGCTTGAGAGGACTCGTGTCTGCCTGAGTGTGCCGCTGCTGGGCCCAAAAGCCTCTCCAGACTCCACCTCATTCGGCACGGAGCCGCTTTCCCGCTCTGAATACACCCCGCCCTATGTACACTCTTCCTCCTCCGCAATTATGATCCCTGCTCCACCTCTGTGCGATGAAGGACGAGTGCTTAAGACTCAGCACAAATGAAATACAAAAAGGTTCACTGTGAAATAAGGCAACCTGTGATGAATGGTAAAGTTAGGCAGAGCCAGAGGACAGCGGGTACACTCACGAGCAGAGCGCGTAGGAGGGGGAGTGTGTGCGCAAGAGGAGGGGGCGGTGTTCCTGTGGGCTCGCACACACGGCACGGCAACACCAGCGCAGGGGCTAAAAATAACACTGGCTGAGGCACGTTATGAGACTCTGAATGCGAGAGAGCAAGAGAAATCGTCACGGACAGCTCTCGTCACAGCCCACCGTCGTGAGCAGTGGAGCAAGTCCATGACTCACTCACGCACACTCTTACGTGATCACCTTCTGCTTCCACAGTATGACTCATGGGAAGGTGTGGGGGGAAAACACACCTCTCTTACTACACATGCCTCGATGATTATTTATCACTATGTCGAGCAGATGACCTCATGTAACTTCCGATGTTCTTCAGCGCTGGGGGAAATTTGCTGTTCTTTTTGAGAACACACCACTAGGAGTGGGTGATATGGCAAAAATTTTACATTATGATATTTCACAGGGTTTGTGAACAAGTCGGAAGAGACAAAACAGAAAACTGGAAAAGAAACACCTTTTTTACTGTTTACAGGCAGGGACACAACAATGTATTGTGACACTGCAATACTGCAATGTAAAAGTGTGAATATGTGCTTTGTGGAGAATGGACATTCTATTAATTAGGCATCGAATGCAACTGCTTTGCTTGAGCACCAGAGTTGCAAACAAACAACACCTATTAACCTTTTTTTGCTCGAAATAGTGTGAATATTGAATCGTTAACCCAGTACTGAATCATGGGCCAAGTATATTGTTACATGCCTATTTATAGGCTCTTTATAATTGGTCTAAACCTTTTTATAATACATGCTGTTGTCCACTGTTGTAAAAGTATTGATGATACCCATAATTTACTCAGAAAAACACAAATTTTGACAGCAATGACATACCAATACATTGACCACCCCTCCACACAAGTTACTTAGAGAGAGCCATCAAACTATGTGAGGTCACTTCAAACCAGAGTGTCTGCTTAAAACGTTTGTTTGAAAATACTAGTCAAGCAACTCCTGCAGAAGCAGCACAAACAAGGTGTTCCATCACATGGAAGCACTTATGGGTGATTTTTAGCCTCCAGATGTTCTTCCTCCCTCTGTCACACAGTATCACACTGTTATCCGGCTGTACTTTTGATACAGTTACCACAGCATAATGACTGCTACTACGCCCCAACCCAGAGGTGAAAGGTGCTAGTGTACAGCAACAGTTCCCTGGTAGAGATGAGTAAGACGCTTTTGTTTGTGTCACAACATGAGATGGTGAGGTATAATGACAGACGGGCAGCTGCTGGTTGAGTTGCTCTGCTAACAGTAACACAGAGGAACAATTCATCCAGCCCGGGAGAAAATAAAAATGAGTCACATGATTACTAAATTCTATCTAGTCTTCCACAAATAAGCAGATCATTTGGTGCTGTGTAGAATTCTATGAGCAAGAGCTACAAGAGTTACTGAGTAACAAGAAAAACGAGGCAAGGATCAAAGTATTTTGATCTTATCGACTAAGTTCACCCCTCCCAGTCCTGCTGGAATACATGTGGGGAAAGAGGGAATGAAGAGAGTTCTACGGTCTTTTCAAGATTTAGTGATAAAAATGCAAAAGGCTTAAATGTTGACATGCAAACCTTCTTTTACAGAAAATCAGCCATTCCAAAACAAAGGATCATAAGGCTTAACAACTTGAGCACATCTGTACAACTCTATTCATCCAACATCAGCCTTCACAGAGGGCTGAAACATGTCTCACAATGGGTGCGGCAGTGCTTATCAACCAAATTCATGGAGCAGAGTCATTTGAGGTGAATTGAGACTCCGTAGGCCTGTAGATGAGGTCATCTTTCATACTGAGCTAGCAAAGTGTGTAAGTGACAAATTATATAATGGTGTTCCTTGGGGGCGTTTTTCTGTGATGCAGGTGAGAATGGAGTTCAAATAGTTTTCAGAAGAAAAAAATTTGAATTCAGAGAAAGCCGCATTCACGTTTTCTAAGTAGAACCCCTTTGATGGAAGTCATTACGTTTGCTGTCAAAGAGTGGGGGAACACAACTGAAACCCTGTAGTCTCTGTGGAAACCACATGCTGCGTTCTGCCTCCATTTCCGTCTGCAGCTCAGATGTTGAGTGGCACTCGATGGTCATGTTAACAGGACGAACATTCAACAACAGTATGAACATGAGAAAGCTTTGTGGCTGGGGAAAAAATGAGGAATGGGAGGAAAAGTGTAACAGCCTAAAAGTAAAAAAACAGCCCAAATGCTCATGCTTTGGTCAAAACATACTTTGGACTTACGACAATGCAATCACACAAATCTGAATATTGTTTTCCTGTTCTCTCTGATGGTTGAGCTTTTATACCACTGCAAAGAGAGCAGGGAATGATTAAGGCGAAAAAATCTGTGGAATGCTGTCCTGCCCACAGCCAACAACCCAACTGTACACAATGTCACTGGTGCTACTCATACTATGGAACTCAAGCATTGTGAGTACAGTACACAAGCTGTGGCTTTTCGTTGCCTTCTTGTAAGAAGCGACCTAAGGTAGGTCGTTTCCACAAGTCATGCCTCACATGATGGCACAGTTCTCTAACCATAAAGTTCCTCTCTAGACCAGACGGACTATTAACTCATTTGTCTACCATTTTCTTACGCACAAACTTTCAACAACTGCAAAAGAAAATCTGTCGTGATCTTGAGACTAACATGTAGTGCTGCTGCATGCCCAGACTCGATGGCTACACACAAAACATCTGATGTTTATTGCGTTTACGGACCTGAAATTGGTCCCACGATGATCGTTCAACTAAGATAACAAAGAGTGAGTTACATAGAAAGCAAGCGTGAAGAGGTCCATCAAAAACAAGGACAACAACAAAAACCTCTAGCTGTCAGACTGATAACGAAATCCACACACAATGTCGACCTCACAGGGGCAATACTATGCCCGACTGCACCAGCTGACCCGGGTCGTCTGCCTTTTGTTCACGAAGCTAAATGTAAAACCTGGGAAAAAAAATCACGGACAATTTGAAACAACGCCAGACAAATATAGGCTGGCTGTTTTCTAACCTTGCATACCTAATCTATATTAGACCGTTGACAAAGCAACTGCTCAGCTTAGCTCGTTTTGCTATCCCCAGCTAGATCCGTCTGCAATGTTGTCGTACAGTCACAGCTCGCACTGAGCGGAATAATAAGCTAGCTACGTTAGCACTCACCGCATATGAACCCAAGCTCGTTCAGAAGGAGTTAAACGTTCATAAACAAGCCAACACTCGTTTCCAAGACATGCTAACAGCCAACAAAAAGTACCAAACGTTATCGTTTCTGTTAGAAAAGCCGCCATGTCAGGCTTGATAGTAGCGACCGTTAATGCCAGCTAGCGTTAGCTGCTCCACACAGTAGTTGTGATGGCCAACTAGGTCAGTTCGCTACTACACTACACTGCAATAACATTAGAGGGGGTGAGCCGTGGCTGTTTTTATCAAGACAAAATTAGACATACATCCGAGGCTACCCACATCCATAGATAAATAACGTCAATTGTCTAAAGAATGACTCTTGTTGCTAATTTTATAAATGAAACTGTTACTTTTGGACTCCAAATGTCCTTATAAGCACATTTTGGAGAACACAGCTTACACATATTTCGTTTGCCATTGATTGTTGAGAACCTTAACGTGTTTCAAACACTTTACCTCAGCGAACCGTCTAAGAAAAACCCTAGCGAGCCTTCAGTGACTAAACCAAACCCCAGCTGGAGGTAGGGTAACGTTAATGTTAGCTAGCAACCCGGCTAACGCGCTAATCTTGGCTGTCTAGCTCAAACCGCTTTCGCTTGCTGAACAACACTGACATAAATGTGAGTCAGAACTGAAGACGGTCGATTACGCTTTCAAAACTTACGTATACTGGCAGCGGCCACGGGTATCCCGCAGCTTCGGCTCCGGCCGGCGACTTCAGCTTCAGCTCCAGCTTCTCTCCCATTCTACTCTCGGCGGCGTTAGCTTGCTAGTGCAGTGGACGAGACAGTAAACTGTCTAGAATTTGAACATTTTGACAGAAAATATCCCAATACTCGACGAAATCCGAAAGGTCGAAAGTTACGGGAAGCTCATGAGTAATTAAAAAAAATGTACACAGTCTTGTTTACTCAGATTTAAATGAGATATTGCGGCTAATTTCTATAAAAACTGCTCATGCCGAGCGGCTGCTCCATCTCGGCGATACCGCCGCCATCTTGACCGGCGTGGAAAAAAAGAGAAGCCGCGAGTGTGGAAAAGGCTGTACCAAAACCAAAGGGACCAGCTATAAACCCGGGCTTGAGCCTGATAGAGAGGGGAGGCACCTTTTACAGATATAAAGCGGGGGATTACTTTTTTCAATTTTAACATTGGCCAGGCAGCGATGACACAAATCGATTGTGGTTTACTGACGAATAGTTCCCTGTGCCAATAACCGTTGAAGGAATGTACCATTCTCCCGTTCATAAATGCAGCTCAGCAAAAAAATTTGAATGTACCGGGAACTGAAGGACAATTTCCTACTGAATTCAAAAAGACGTAGAGCTGAGGGTGAGGCAGTGACATGGTGCGTGATAGTTATACTACTTCAGGGCAGCGAAACAAAAGGTTTAAAATTAGTGATTGACTTTAGGAAAGAGAAAGGAGAGATTTACTGTACTCTGTAATAATAAACTTTATAGCTAGATTCACTATATACTATAGTGACACTAATAAACACCAAATATCTACTGTGCTATCTATTAACACTAATAAACTCCATAGATTTACTATATTCTATAATAACACTAATAAACACCAAATATCTACTGTGCTATCTATTAACACTAATAAACTCTACAGATTTACTATATTCTATAATAACACTAATAAACACCAAATATCTACTGTGCTATCTATTAACACTAATAAACTCTACAGATTTACTATATTCTATAATAACACTAATAAACACCAAATATCTACTGTGCTATCTATTAACACTAATAAACTCCATAGATTTACTATATTCTATAATAACACTAATAAACACCAAATATCTACTGTGCTATTGAATAACACTTATAAACACCATAGATGTACTGTGCTATCGAAAAACACCTAGAAACATCATAGATGTACTGTGCTAATAACACTAATTAACACCATAGATATACTGTACTATCTAATAACACTAATAAACACCATAGATGTACTGTGCTATCTAATAACACTAATAAACATTAATGATCTACAGTGCTATCTAATAACACTTATAAACACCATAGATGTACTGTGCTATCTAATAACACTAATGAACACCACAGATGTACTGTGCTATCTAATAACACTAATGAACACCACAGATGTACTGTGCTATCTAATAACACGTATAAACACCATAGATGTACTGTACTATCAAATAACATTTATAAACACCACAGATGTACTGTGCTATCTAATAACACTAATAAACAGCATAGATGTACTGTGCTATCTAATAACACTAATGAACACCACAGATGTACTGTGCTATCTAATAACACGTATAAACACCATAGATGTACTGTACTATCAAATAACATTTATAAACACCATAGATGTACTGTGCTATCTAATAACACTAATAAACATTAATGATCTACAGTGCTATCAAATAACACTTATAAACACCACAGATGTACTGTGCTATCTAATAACACTAATAAACACCATAGATGTACTGTGCTATCTAATAACACTAATAAACACTAATGATCTACTGTACTCTCCAATAACACTAACACTATACAAATGTATTGTAAATGTATTATATATATACCTACTGGGCTATCTAACAACACTAAAACACCATACAGATGTATCGTACTCTGTATTAACACTAATAAACACCATGCAGATGTATTGTATTCACCCCCCAAGCAATGCCCAAACCTGCTCATTGGCGGGATCCTGACAGTTGATGAACAGGGTAAAGTGGGGCTAACAAATTTATCAGAGAACAGATGGACTACAATCAGTAACTGAAGATATACAATGTGAACCTATATGGAAAGTGGACCTAATAAAATGGTTGAATGGTCAGTAGTCTGTAGTCAGTGAATATAGATCTATTGTACTCTATAGTAATGCCAATAAACACTATATAGATCTACTGTACACTAACTGCTATTTTTGCCATATATTAGAGAAAACATTTTCATACAACCCCAAATCATACAAAGTTGGGATGGTATGTTAAATTAAAATTAAACTGTTCCAGTTGAAATTTTGTCCCAGTCTTCCTGCAAATAAGTTTTAAGGTGTACAACAGTGTGGGGTCTTCACTGTTGCATTTTGTGTTTTAAAATGAGCCATACATTCACTGTTGGGGACAGGTCAGGACTGCAGGCAGACCAGTCCGGCACACACACCCTCTTTTTTCACAGCCATGCCTTTCTACTGTGTGCAGAATGTGGTCTTGCATTGTCTTGTTGAAATATGCATGGGCACCCCTGGAAAAGACGTCTTCTTCAAGGCAGCATGTGTAGCTCCAAAATCTCAATGTACTTTTTGGCATTAACCGTGCCATCACAGAAGCGTAAGTGACCTTTGCTTAGGGCACTGACACAGCCCCGTACCATGACAGACCCTGGCTTTTGGACTTGGAACAATGTGGGTGCTCCTTTCATTGTGTTCGGTCTAGAACATGTGGCTTCCATCTCTTCCAAAAGAGACCTGAAATATCTCCAAGCCCAAAGAAGTCCACAGCACTTCTGGACATGGTTAACATGAGCCTTCCTTTTTGGTACAATACAGTTTTAATGGCATTTGTGGATGTACCTACGTATCAACGTGCTTGACAAAGGTTTGCCAAAGTAATCCCGAGCCAGCGTGGTTGTATCGCTTATATAATGACAGTTCTTGATGTAGTGCCATCTGAGGTATTGGAGAGCAGTTATTCAGTTTAGGCTTGTGCCCTTTACGCACTGAAATTCCTCCAGATTTCTTGAATTTTTAAATATGTTATGCACCATAGATGGCGAAATATCTGAATTCTTTTAGAAACATTGTTTTTAAACAATGTTTTTCCCACATATTTATTTCACATATTTGTTGGCAAACTGGTGATCCTCAGCCCATCTTTGCTCCTAAAGGACTAGGCTTTTCCTGGATGAATCATTATCACCTGCTGGCATAACCTGTTTCAAATCATATCAATATTCAATCCCAAGGCCATATAGGGAGTCGTTTCTGAGCTAGATGTATTTTATCAGCATAAATTTGCCACTTTTTCAAAAATATTTCTAATGAGCACTGTATCAGGAAAGGTATTAAGTATTTTTATACCTCTATATGGGCAGTTTTCTCCTTATTACAAGGTATAAAAGCATCAGATTGCCTTTTCACCCACATATTAGACCATGTAATTCCACTCAGATTTTCTCAAATACTAATATGTATTTGTTCTACTTGTGCAATCTGCACTTTGTACTATTCATCTAAATCGGTTGCTGTGCTGATTTTTTTGTGAATTGTAACCATGTTAAACTGTGAGGAATATATAGGAGGATGAATTTCATTGTACATAATGCAAATACTTGAATTTGAGGAGGCGCAGTCAGTAGTTATGTATGGGACTATGTATGCATCGTTATAGTGACTTTTTCATTGATTTTTTTCACCTAACTGACATATTTCTCACTTGCAGTGGAGATTACGACTGAACTCACTTGGACCCAGATAACATTCTCTCCTGTGGTGTGACGACACAGGATAAAGAGTCAAAAGATCTTATGAAACCATCTGAAACATCTCTGACCACAATGTGAGAGTCTTGTGGTAGTCATTCATCATTAGCAAAACTTCTCACACCACATCTCAAGCTAGCAACTCGCTAACCTGGGTCAGTTATATAATATTCAATTTTATGTTAAAGCACTTGCAGCAACTTGGCTTGCTGGTTGTAGCCTTGGGAATCTTTTTGTAGATGTTTTTCCCTGCTGCGCTACAACGGTGTCTGTCTTATCTGGTCATATTTACAAGGAACACGTGATACTGCCTGTTTCATTATAAAGAAAAAAATAGTGCTGTTCAGCTGGATTTAGTACAACACAGTATGTGAAATGTTGAGTAAAAATAGTTAAAGTAAAAATGAATATGACATACTAAAAATCATGAAAATATCTTGAATTTTCTTGAATCGCCCACCTTTAAATTCTTCAGTGAAAACCAGTAAATATTGAAAATTATAGTTGAAAGCGTTTGCATTGGTATTAAATAAACTGACACATAAACTGACTGTTTAGTGGAGTAAAATAATTCTGTATGATGTGCCACTGTAGAGCACATGTGGCTGTCTTTGCCTGTGTGTATGAGAAGCAGAGGGAGAGGACAAAAAGTAGTTCCTACTCATTAATTTGCAACATTTTTTTTTTCACTTTTCAGCAACAAAGACACATTCAGTTTAATAACAAGCAGTGTCACTGATGTGCACTCTATTCCAGTCCAAAAGCTACACTATATAGGCAAAATAACGTGGGCGCTTCTCCTGTTTAGTGAGTTCAGGTGTTTCAGCCACACCCAGTGATAACAGGTGTATAAAATCAAGCACATAGCCATGCAATTTCCATATTCAAACTCAGGCAGTAGAATGGGTCGTACTGAAGAGCCTTGTGACTTTAAATGTGGCACTGTCATAGGAAATATCTGCCCTGGTCAACTGTAATTGCCATTATTGTGAAATGAAAGCATCTAGGAGGGACAACAACTCAGCCATGAAGCGGTAGACCACTCAAACTCAAAGAGCAGGGCCACAGAGTGCTGAAGCACATAGTGCATATACATATAATAATCACCTA